CTGCTCTAGAAAGACTACAGAGAAGAGCAACAAAGATGATCAAGGGACTGGAGGTTAAAACATACAAAGAACGGTTGCTGGAATTGGGTATATCTAGTTTAATGAAGAGAAGGACGAGGGGGGACATGATAGCAATCTTCCAATATCTCAGGTGTTGCCACAAAGAAGAGGGAGTCAAGCTATTCTCCAAAGCACCTGAAGGCAGGACAAGAAGCAACGGATGGAAACTAATAAAGGAGAGGAGCAACCTAGAACTAAGGAGAATCTTCCTGACACTTAGAACAATTAATCAGTGGAACAACCTACCTCCAGAAGCTGTGAATACTCCAACACTGGAAGTTTTTAAGAAGATAGAAAAATGTGGATTAGACAGCATCACCACCAGATGGATCCGTATTTGGCTGACCAGCCATACTCAGTGTGTGGTCCTCAATGGAACCGCATCTACATGGAGGGAAGTGTGTAGTGGGGTGCCCCAGGGCTGTTCTGGGCCCAGTGCTCTTCAACATCTTCATCAACGATTTGGACGAGGGGATAGATGGGGAAATCATCAAATTTGCAGATGACACCAAGCTGGCAGGAATAGCCAACACTCCAGAAGATAGGCTTAGAATACAAGAGGATCTGGACAGATTTGAACACTGGGAGCTATCTAACAAAATGAAATTCAATGGTGAAAAAAGTAAGGTTCTACATTTAGGCAAGAAAAACCAAATGTACAGGTATAGTATAGGGGGGTACCTTGCTCAATAGTAGTAACTGTGAGAGGGACCTAGAAGTCCTAGTGGACAATCTCTTAAATATGAGCCAGCAGTGTGCTGCAGCTGCCAAAAAGGCCAATACAGTGCTGGGTTACATTAACAGAGGGATGGAATCAAGATCACGTGAAGTATTAATACCACTTTAAAATGCCTTGATAAGGCCACACGTGGAATATTGCATCCAGTTTTGGTCACCATGATGTAAAAAAGATATTGAGACTCTAGAAAGAGTACAGAGAAGAGCAACAAAGATGATTAGGGGACTGGAGGCCAAAACATATAAGGAAAGGCTGCTGGAATTGGGTATGTCTATCTAGTTCAACAAAGAGAAGGAAGAGGTGGGATATGTTAGCAGGGTTCCAATATCTCGGGGCTGCCACAAAGAAGAGGGAGTCAAGCTATTCTCCAAAGCACCTGAAGGCAGGACAAGAAGCAACGGATGGAAACTAATAAAGGAGAGGAGCAACCTAGAACTAAGGAGAATCTTCCTGACACTTAGAACAATTAATCAGTGGAACAACCTACCTCCAGAAGCTGTGAATACTCCAACACTGGAAGTTTTTAAGAAGATAGAAAAATGTGGATTAGACAGCATCACCACCAGATGGATCCGTATTTGGCTGACCAGCCATACTCAGTGTGTGGTCCTCAATGGAACCGCATCTACATGGAGGGAAGTGTGTAGTGGGGTGCCCCAGGGCTGTTCTGGGCCCAGTGCTCTTCAACATCTTCATCAACGATTTGGACGAGGGGATAGATGGGGAAATCATCAAATTTGCAGATGACACCAAGCTGGCAGGAATAGCCAACACTCCAGAAGATAGGCTTAGAATACAAGAGGATCTGGACAGATTTGAACACTGGGAGCTATCTAACAAAATGAAATTCAATGGTGAAAAAAGTAAGGTTCTACATTTAGGCAAGAAAAACCAAATGTACAGGTATAGTATAGGGGGGTACCTTGCTCAATAGTAGTAACTGTGAGAGGGACCTAGAAGTCCTAGTGGACAATCTCTTAAATATGAGCCAGCAGTGTGCTGCAGCTGCCAAAAAGGCCAATACAGTGCTGGGTTACATTAACAGAGGGATGGAATCAAGATCACGTGAAGTATTAATACCACTTTAAAATGCCTTGATAAGGCCACACGTGGAATATTGCATCCAGTTTTGGTCACCATGATGTAAAAAAGATATTGAGACTCTAGAAAGAGTACAGAGAAGAGCAACAAAGATGATTAGGGGACTGGAGGCCAAAACATATAAGGAAAGGCTGCTGGAATTGGGTATGTCTATCTAGTTCAACAAAGAGAAGGAAGAGGTGGGATATGTTAGCAGGGTTCCAATATCTCGGGGCTGCCACAAAGAAGAGGGAATCAAGCTATTCTCCAAAGCTCCTGAAAGCAGGACGAGAAGCAACAGGTGGAAAGTAATCAAGGAGAGAAGCAACCTAGAACTAAGGAGAAACTTCCTGACAGTGAGAACAATTAACCAGTGGAACAACCTGCCTCCAGAAGCGGTGAATGCTCCAACACTGGAAGTTTTTAAGAAGAGACTGGACAGCCATTTGTCTGAAATGGTATAGGGTTTCCTGCCTGAGCAGCGGGTTGGACTAGATCAGGGCTTTTCAATCTTTTCACCCATTGTACCACTTTTAGAATATGGCAGTATCCCAGTACCACCAGTCGCCTAGCAAGGTGTCAAAAATTTGATGACCAAAAAAAAAAAAAGTGATAAAGTACAGGTAGTCCTCGACTTACAACAGTTCGCTTAAAAGTTACAATGGCACTGAAAAAAGTGCCCCCCCCAAGTCACAGCTGAGCAAAACACCTGCCTGCCCACCTGGCGGCGCTCTTCCTCCTGTCCAAGGTTTTCATTGTTGTGAGCATTTCTGTTGAGGATTGGCAGTGGGGGTGGGGTGGGGGGGTGTTTGGTTTTTATTCCCCCCATCTGCTGGGTGGTTGCAGCAGGTTTTGATCACTTCACATGACCCTGGAATACTGTGACCGTCATAAATATGAATCAGTTGCCAAGATCTGAATGTAAATCACAAGACCCTGGAGGGGCTGCAACATTCCAGCTGACTGGCACTTCTTCTGGGCTCAGCAGAGGTGCCAGGATCAGTGCTGCTTTCCAGCTGATTGGTGCTTTTTCAGTGCTCAGCAGAAGCACCAAGATTAGCGCCGAGCTCCAGCTGGAGCCTAGTGCTGATCCTGGTGCTTCTGCTGAGCCCTGACAGCCCTGCAGCTCCAGCCATCTCTCGCTCAGGCTTGTGCGGTGCTGCCACTGGTTCAGCTCATTCCCCTCCCCCACTACTTTTCTAGGATGGTCACATACCACCTTCCAGGTGCCAATGTACCACATCTAGCCCTGAACTAGATGACCTCCAAGGTCCCTTCCTACATTATTATTATTATTATTATTATTATTATTATTATTATTATTATTATTATTATTATTATGTGCTAGGTAAGGAAACAATCTCTGAAACTATGATCCAATGGCTCATGGGTTTTCGACTATTACATAAATATCACTGTATGCGGCCCATGTCTGTATTTCATAATGAAGTAATCACATCTTATAATAATGAAATAATTCTGGGGACAGGTCTTGTACTTGACTAAAGGGTTGGGAAGTTACTACAGAGTTCAAATATTCATTGGATTTTAGTATAATTCAACATTTTGCTTGCTCAGCATCAGTTATTTTGTCCAACCAGATCCAATGAAGGCATGGATGTGTCAAGCTAGCCTAACTGAAAGAAATTGCAAATACATGTTGTAATTGTCCTCTTACAGCCTGATTTATTTAAAAAATAAAAATAAAAATGGATTCCACTAAAGAATCCAGGGACAAAAGATTCTGTCTGCTTTGAACTGCCCAAGACCAGAAATTGGAATAATCTTTTAGCAGAATTTGCTAAGCAGAGGGAAAGAACTAGGTCACTGAACCTGCTGTTTGTACAAATGTGGTGAACGAGTGCTAGCAAATGTTCACTCACAGCAGGTGTGGGCAAAGCACAGTTCCCTTTCACAACACCCAGACTACAGTGGTGGGATTCAAATATGTGAACAACCAGTTCTCTGTCTGGATGTCGCTTCCGGAAGTCCATTCTGGGCCTGGGCAACAAAAAATTAGCTACCAGTTCTGCCGAACTGGTGCGAATTAGCTGAATCCCACCACTGCCAGACTATCTCTGTAATATACTGCCAAAATTCATTGGCAAAATGACTGCATTCCAGCCACAATTTTAGTCGCCAATTTAAAAAAAAAAATGTCAGCACTGGGTTGACTCTTTACTCAAGTGCATTAGGTTCTTCCTGAAATTAATCAAAAAAATCATATTATATCTTCTCCAGCAACATATTGAGAAATTAGCCCCACTCTATAGCAAAATATAGACTATTTTAAATGGAGAAAACATTTAACAAGATAGAATATAACAAGTACAGCTGTTTGTGAACACATTAACTGTTTTTATTTCACCATCAATTCCCATTTTTAAAACTTTTTAAAACAATAACCCCCAAAATCAAATAAATAGCAGTAATAAATCTTACAAATTAATTCCAGAAGCAGAACATGTTCAGCCCAATATAAACATTGCCATTAAAAAAAAAACCGTAACATCTTCAAAGAATGATCTTAGGTTTTATACTAGTGGCAAGGAAGACTTATTATTATATTTATAAGCTGCTCATCTCACTCTCAAATAGCACTGGGTAGCTTGTTAACATGATATTACAGGCCTTACCTAAACACTCAGATCACTTCCAAAAATTGGGCATTATGATACTTGTACTCTTATGCAGAAAAACCAACCACAAACATAATCATGAGTGTAAAACTTTCAAAACCTTTGTATATTGCAAATGTGGGATGTTTTTTTTTTAGTGAAACAAGACACCAATTTTACAATGGCTAAGCTTTCTTCTTGCCAAATTCACTATAACAGTCAAGAATTCTGGGAGTTGATGTCCACCCAGGTTAAAATTGTCAAGGTTGAGAAATACTACAATATAAGGTTAAAACCAATGTCAGATTCAGGAGGAACAAAATCACATTCTGGGTTCTTATCTGGATTTCTGTTCATCTAGGCCAGGGGTCTTCAAACTTGGCCCTTTTACGACTTGTGGACTTCAATTCCCAGAATTCCTCAGCCATCATGCTTGGCTGAGGAATTCTGGAAGTTGAAGTCCACAAGTCGTAAAAGGGCCAAGTTTGAAGACCCCTGATCTAAGCTATTGTTTCTCAACCCTGGCAACTTTTAAGATATCTGGACCACAACTCCCAAAATTCTCCAGCCAGCATGGGAAGTTGCTGTCCACACATCTTAAAATTGCTAAGATTGAGAAACATTGATCTAAACAGTTTCTGCTTTCACCCTTTCTAGCAAAGCGAATGTTATATACTAGAAGCTAACTTGCAGAAAGGAGTTAATTTAACAATCAAGTTGAGTCATTTTTCTCCACTGAGTTCTAGCCGCTCCATTGCTTTGAAGTCCCTGATTCTAATGCACATTCTAGGCATCCACACTACACCAAGTTTTGGTATTTGCACCAAGTCTCTCTCCTCATCAGCAGAAAGTTCGCCATCAGACCCCAGAGTTGCACCATGATGCTGCACTGTGATGATGCTGCACTGTGAATCTTATGACATAATTCCAAAAACAGGATTGTGACGGCAAATGCCAGGACCATATTCCTCGTAGGCTTTCTTGGTGTGACACACGTCAAAGAACTCTGGCTGAGAAAAAAAAAATTAAGGATAGATCAGAAGCTGCTGCACGTGAAAACGTACGATCAAGAAAATGAACCAGTCCAGAGAAAAATTGGTGGTACATGATCACCTTCACAGGTGAATTCACTACACAGGGCAAAGATGGGAATGGCAGTTAATTTTGAAAGAAAGAGACACATATACTTAAGATATTTTTTTACCAAAAGCCCTTTGGACAAGGAACAGAAATTTAAAGAAAGCAATACAGAAAGACTTTGTTCCATTTCTAGCAGACGTTATACTATGATGCAAAGTGACTACATGTATGAAAACTTGCTGAAGTCTACTCTTACACCATGATTTCTCAAAATAGATTAAAATAGTTTATCTCCCATGCCATAACTCTACTAAACAATTAATTCCCACAACACTGTCTTATGCCCTGGAATGTCAAACCATGTAATACTATTATCCTTCTCATCTTTCCTATTACCTATTTCTTTAGCATCTTATGACTATAACACTGTTGTGTGTATCTTACATTTTATGTTGATTGCTTTTATTTAATATCCTATTATGATTTGATTGCTTATTAAGCATCCCATGACCACCCCTGAATATTGTATCTTATGATTTATGATGATTGTATTTTATGATTATGATCATGATTTTTCACTTCTTGCTTGTATGTATATGAGAGCTTATACATCAGAGACAAATTCCTTGTGCGTCTAATCACACTTGATCAATAAAGAATTATGTTCTATTTGTCAAAAGTCCTATCTGACCTACTATTTTTGCTTCTGTTAAGTTAGCACCAGAAAGAGCTGGTTCTGAACTTGGAAGTCTCAGAATCGGCTCGAGGCTATTCCAAATTACAGACTGAAAAGGTGATGCACCTTTCTGAGTTTTTGTGAACTGACTACAGAATTGTAAAAAGTGTTCTATGACAGCAATTCAGTACACTGAGCAGTTAGCCAAGACTCAAGGCTGGAGAACTTTCAGTCAATCAGAATAGAGCTGGAAGGGACTTTAGAGGTCTTCTAGTCCAACTCCCTGCTCAAGCAGAAGACATATATCATTTCAGATAGATGGCTATCCAATTTCTTCTTAAAAACCTCCAGTAATGGAGCATCCACAACCTCTGAAGGCAAGCTGTTCCACTGGTTAATTGTTCTCACTGTTAGGAAGTTTCCCCTTAGTTCCAGGTTGCTTCTCTCCTTGATTAGTTTCCATCCATTGTTTCTTGTCTTGCCTTCTGGTACTTTGGAAAATAGCTTGATTCCCTTCTTCTTTGTGGCAGCCCCTCAAATAGTGGAATTTGAAGCAGAGATGCTGGGGAACAAAGGCAAATATACGTGTCCCAGGATAATGCTGAAGGAACCAATCTGGGTTAGTCACTGGAACCAGAGATTTAGTCTTCCAAGCTTTCAGACTCCTGCTGTAGCCCGTCCTCAGAGAACGTCTCTCTATCAGAATGTCTGCTTTGGGCCATTCTATGCTTCGTATTTATGTGGTCCTGGGCTTTGAAAGCAGCAATTGCCAATTGCAAACATCTTAAAATGTTTAGGATTACTTCTTAAATGCAGATCATCTGAGTTTATACCCTACAAGAAATCCTCAACTTATGACCGGAATTGAGTCCGGAATTATAAGATTGTGGTTGTAAGCCAAGGCATCACATGATCAGTTTCAGAGTTATGACTTTTCTTTTAAGGAAATGTTGCAATCATTAAGTAAATGCCATGATTGTTAAACAAATCTGTTTTTCCCCAACAGACACTTTTTGCTGAAAATTGGAAGTAAAACACTAGAAACAGGCCAAAAAAGTCACCAATCACAGTTATGTGACTGTGAGACACTGCAAAAAGCTACAAAGGTGAGCAGGTTGCCAAGTGCCCAACATACAGATCATGTGATGTGATCACTATAGCTCTAAAAATGAGTCATAGGTAGCTATGGGGAAGTACACTGGATGGTGATTAAGCAACCACTTGTGAGAATTACCTGTACGTTCTTTGGATGTAGACAAATCTAATCAGATAACTTTAGCAGTCCCTAATTCTTTTTTTAATTGAGAAATGTGATTTTTTTTGCCAGATTTTGCCTAACAAAATTTGTTCTCTCCATATTGATCTTATTACAGTAATGCAAGGTGTAAGTCTAACCAGCAATGGAAAAAACAGTGAATTTATTTGCTGGTGGGAACAATAAAGAAACCAATTCCTTGCTTAGGAATCAAACAGATGATGTGCAATTTTCCTGGGACCAGCTGATTTAATAAAAGACATACCGTCGACGCAAGCATAGATCCGCCAAACCAGACGGCATAACGCTGCATGTGATGACTGATCACTTGAACTTCCACAGGTTTCGGCTGCAAAACACAAAACAAAAACAGAATATTATCAGAACACAACACAGGCTGAATTAACCAGGCCTACCAGTTGGAACAGCACACTGTGTTTAATGAGTTATTACGGGAAAAGAGGTTCTGAATAACCATCTGTTCGGAATTAATAAAGCTGGCTCAGATTCCAGCAATGTGGGTTGCAAATCTCTATGGCCCAATACTCAAGATTTGAGCTCTCCATTCCTAATGCAAGAGACTTTATCATTCTACTAGAAAGAATGTAATTATACTTGCCAAATTCAAGCACCCGCCTAAAATATTGTGAGTTCTGCTATTTCTTTTTACACTGTTGCTATAATCCCAGCATGGATATATATGGTCCAGCAAAGAGAAAATATTGATCCTCTTTTCTTTCTTTCTTTCTTTCTTTCTTTCTTTCTTTCTTTCTTTCTTTCTTTCTTTCTTTCTTTCTCTCTCTTTCTTTCTTTCTTTCTTTCTTTCTTTCATTCTTTCTTTCTTTCTTTCTTTCTTTCTTGTCTCCTTCCTTTCTTCCATCCCTTCCTTTCTTAACTTTAGATCTTTCTATTTCTTTCTTTCTTTCTTTTTTCCCTTCCTGTCGTGACTCCTGGCAATTAGCTGGACAAAATCCCTCAGTTTTCTTGGCAAGATTTTCAGATGTGATTTGCCATTGCCTTCTTCTTAGGGCTGAGAAAGAGTGGCTTTGCGTCTAAGGCAGAACTAGAACTCACAGTCTCCCACTTGTTAGCCTGATGCCCTAACTGCCACACCGAAATGACTCTCATTCATCCCCTATTAACCAGAATGAAATCCTTTGAACTAAATTTTTGCAACCAGACCTTTGACTGCCAAAAATCTCACTTTTGTTACAAAATAATAAGCTGAGCTGAAAATGTTCTAGCATTTTCTGGATATTGGACATTTCTTTAAACCTGAAGAATTCAACTGACTATCATCATATAAATAATATAATGTTCTTCTTTGTCAATCATTTCCGAGCAGGATACTGGCCCGAATAAATGCAATTAGCATGTAAAAATGTCATCTGATTTATAGGCCTTGCTAATCAGCTCAGGGCTCTCCCTTTGTTTGTTCAGGCATTTAATGGGAAATAAAATCAATTTACCTTTATTCGACCACCGCTGAGTTCTTCACTGATTTTTAGTCGAGCATCTACTGCTCTTTTCAAGTCCCTCTGTAAACGACGACCAAAATCTCTAAACATTGTAGATCCTCCTGAAAGCACCACATTCTACATGACAAAGAAACATTTTTGGGCTTTAGACAATACAACCAAACTTTTTTTAAAACAATCAGATCTATAGATCTTCTCTCTCTTGGCTATTCCTTAAGGAATAGCAGGACACAAATGTGATAGGTCAGGTGCAGTCATACAGATAGTTCTCAACCTACAACCATTATTGAGCCTGGAATTATATTTGGAAGGTATTGCAGTCATTAAGTGGGTCACTACATGTTAGGCCTAATTTTATGACATTTTTGTGGCAGTTGTTAAGCACATGCCATGGTCTTAAGTGAATCCATTTTACCCCAAGGGCAGTTTTTGCTGAAAACTAAAACAAACATCAGAAACCAGCAAAAAAACATTGAAAACCACAATCATGTGACCAACGACCATAGCAATCAGCTGTAAAAATGAGATGGTTGTCAAGTCTCCAAAATGTGATCACATGACCACAGGGAGGGAGTGTATATGTGGCCACGGGCATCATAATTTCAAAATCAAGTCATAACTATCGTTGGGGGGGATCTATGGTAACTACCAATGATCACTAAGTGACCAGTAGTAAATGAAGGACTTCCTGTATGACATGACTGATCTACTGATGGTCATTCTGCAGGGAGATCAAAAAACTAAGTTGGTGACCATCATCACTGCACAAAGTGCAATCAAATTTTCACAAGCATTTCACTTACGAAAGTTTACACGAGTTTCTAGTGCAAAGATGCCATTTTTTGACACAGATACCTCATGGATGCATCTACCTTCACACTGAGCGTCCACTTACTTTTGACTTGCCTGGGCTGCACTGAAAAGGAATTATCTTGGGCCGCATATAAAATATATAGTATAGTTACTGTATATAAATCATACAATCATATAATTATGTGATTTATATACACTAACTATATTTTACTATAAACTATACCTAACTTAACATTATTATGTGACTTATATACAGTAATTACACTATATATTTTATATGCGGCCCAAGACAATTCTTCAGTATACTTATCTTGGGCTATATTACTAGCTGTCTGTGAGTTGCACAGAATTTTTATCAAATTCTACTCTACAGCAAAGGCAATGAAAACATATAAATGCCCATCATTAGGAGTGAAAGTTAACTCCTGTTAATCTCAGCAAATTTGCTCTCAAGTACAGCCTTCTTACTGCAGCTGAGCAACAGTTGCCCATTCCCAAATCTCTCAAAATTATTTTAATCATAATTTTCCAACTATGTGTGAGGTAACTCTCTTAGCATTCAAGATATAGCTTAAAATAAGGATCTCCATTACAAAATGAATCGAATCAGAAGTGAAAGAAAGCAGCAGCTAGATTGGAAAAGGAACAAATTAATTTAAGCATGGACCAGTGTTTCTCAATTTGGCTACTATAAGATGGTTGGACTTCAACTCCCAGAATTCTCCAGCTAGCTTGTGGGAGTTGAAGCCCACACATCTTAAACTTGTCAAGTTAAGAAACAGTAGTCTAAACCAACAGCTATAAGATCTTAAGTGGGCATCTGAAGATAGGGTGAAAATTAATCAGATATTTTAGAACAAAGAATTCCAAATTTCCATAACTGAGAAGGTCATAGACATTTTATCTCACCTCATAATTTACCTTAGTTTATAGAAGGGTACACATATGTATATTATTTATTATGTTAAATAGATTTAAGGCCCAATCCTTTTCCCTCACATGGCAGATTGCAATAATGAGGGCTAATTAAACCGATATGGATTTTAAGAAAATGGTTGGTTTACTTCTTTCAAATGACTAGAAAGGCTAATGAGAATTAGCCTTTATTAATTCCTTTATCTCAGCTACAGCAATACAGGCAGTCCTCTGCTCATGCTCATGAACCTTAGACCATGGCTGAAAACACGTTACTTACAACCGGTCCTCACATTTACGACTGTTGCAACATCCCCACAGTGACACAAACAAATTCAGGTGCTTGGCAATTGACATGTACTGTATGTATGAAAGTTGCAGCATCCCAGGGTTACGTGATCACTATTTGTAACTTTCCCAACCAGCTTCTGACAAGCAAAGTCAATGGTGGAAGTCGTATTCATTTAACAACTGGGCGATTCATTTAACGCCAGCAGTGATTCACTTAGCAACCATGGTAAAAAGATCACAAAATTGGGCATGACTTAACAACAGAAATTTTGGTTCTAATTGTGGCCATAAGTCAAGGAACATAGAAAATTTCTGCTACCTAATAGCAAATAAATCTAGAATGGTTAATAAGATCAGCCTAAACATTGGAGAAGAGAATCAGAGAATTTATTACAGCATATATAAACCCAGTTGATGATGGAATATGGGAAACTGATGAATTTTGATGCAGAAAATAATCTTCATAACTTCTACATTGAATTGTAAAAATTATTTGAATAATAATGTACTATAAAATTGAAGGTCAGAAATGAAACTTTTAGATGATCCATCCATTATTCATGGAGAAAAGTTTGCCCAGCAGTTAATAATAACAAAAGGGTAATAAAGTAGGTGTTAATGTTAACTAGAAATGCCTATATTGTGTATGGTACAACAAAACTAATTAATCCACAAATACGTTATGGCTAGAAAGCAATAGTAAATACCAATGTAAGGTATACAAAAAGGGCTTTCATTTGAAATTCCTTTTATGAAGGTATTTTAAGACAAAACGGTATTGCTTCATTCATGAAATCAAGAAGGGGTCTTCTTCTTCAGTGGACAAATTGTTTCCAGTTTCCCTTTTTCATTCTTGATTATGATAAAATGTCAAGATACCCAAGAGAAAAAACTGGAGATTATTCCAAAGAAGATGACCCCAGAACACTATAAACATGTGCTCTTTGAGATTGGTTCTTTTCTTGCAGCCATTTCATTACCCAACTAGGTAACATAATCAATGCAAGTACAGGAGCAATCCCCACACTCACTAACACTGATGATGTTAGTAAATTGGATAATAAAACGTCTGCAAGAAAACAACCAAATTCAGAGAGCGCCAAGGACGCCAAAGTTCAACCATGAACGACAAATATTCTCTTCTATTGTTAACACTATAAAATCTTCAGAGTGATTTATAGCCTGCTCCAAATGTCATCTATGGATAGTGATGAATGAGTGTCAACAAAGCTGAACTCTCTTTACTAAGGATTACTTCACTCAATAATCTACTAACTTAAATTTTTTTCATTAGCTACCTTTTGAACATTTGAGCTTTGCTCTTCAGTTTTGGAATTTGTACATTTATGTTTTTAGAATTCAGAAGCCCAGCCCTATTTATTTTTACAACTGACTCCTTTTTTCTAGTGTTCAAGAATTTAACATTTTTTAAAATAATAGTTTTAAAATTATAAATTTGCCTATAGGAGGGACATGGACAGTAGCAAACTACAGTAGATTTGATTAATATAGCTAGAAAGTTTTTAGCAAAGGAAATAATTCTTATATTTTATTTTACTCTTTCTAGCTCAACAAGCATCACAGATTGATAAAGAAATGGCATTTTCAATACAATTTTACTAATAATGATTTTTACTAATCTGAGAACAATTTATTTTTATTGTGATTCTATTTATCTTATTTTTATTTTATTTCCTGCAACCAGGTTATATTCCTAATGCAAACAGCTTTGTTTCATCTGCAATTATTTGATCAAATTTTTAAATTCTTTTTTTTTATGAACTTTATGAGATTGTTTTCTTGCCACAAGGGGGGGCTCCAAGATAAGGAATAACTGCTTGGGGGTTTTCCATTTTGAAATTAAATTTAAATTAAGATAGGCAGACAGAGTTTGAGTTTTAGTATAAACAGTATTTTAAAAAACTTTTAAGAACTGAATGCTTAGAACTAGACTGTAGTCTTCTTTTAAGGGTTTTCATTATATCTGTTTTCTCACACTATTATCTGGAATTTATATATTATATCTATGTATCATTTTTTAAATCTTATTCTTAATTGTACACAGGTAGTCCTTGGCTTACAACCATCCATTTAGTGACCATTCAAAGTTACAACCACCCTAAAAAAATAAGTGACTTATGACTGATATAGATCAAGGACTAACTGTCCCTTGATCCATTGCTTTTTAATGAAAAAAAATTCTGGGTACAATTAAAACAGGATTTTGAAATAAAAATGGATTCTCTTAAAGGTGACTTTATTGATAAATAGGACAACTGAATGGCCAAGTTAGAATATCAGGATAAAGAAATGAAAAAGATCTGTAGGTGGGATACAAGAAGACATCATTAATTCAGAGAAATTGAAAATGCTAAATATTTTGTTTATTTATTAAACTTCTATTCCAAATATATTGGAAGCTAAACTGGAAATAGTGAAATAGAATAGTAAAAAGTACTTTATCAGGGTACCTAAGGATTGGGTGAAAGAAAATCTCAAAAGCGAAATGGAAAACTTGCTCAACACTTATCTTCAATTGGAAGTAAAGAAAACTTTGGACATTAACGAAATCTACAGAATAAATTCATGAAAAAGAAAATTGCACATGATGTGCTTCTCAAGGGAAAAAAAGCAGTAGTGGAATTAAAAGAAGTCATGTTTCCTTAACTCTTAGAAACACAGTAAATGAGATTCTACCAGAAGTATCTCTAGAAAGAAAGAGGAGATTTTCTGACACAACAAGATAGATCAATCCTACTTTATTGTAGGGCTACATTAATAGAATCTTGCAAGTCTAAGGGTAAAAATTTCCCAAAGTCTCTTTTAGCTGCTTGATCCAGTCATAAGTAAGTGAAGGTGGGTTTTTGCTATCTGTGGCCATTAAGCTACTGAGGGCACCTCCCCTTCTTGTCTGGTTGTTTATTTTATTTTATTATTATTTTATTTTATTATTTTATTTTATTTATTTATTAAATTTTTTATTATTTTATTTTATTTATTTATTAAATTTCTATTCCACCCTCTAACAGAATAACAGAATAACAGAGTTGGAAGGGATCTTGGAGATCTTCTAGTCCAACCCCCTGCTTAGGCAGGAAACCCTATACCAGTGGTTCTCAACCTTTCTAATGCCGTGACCCCATAATACAGTCCCCATGTTGTGGTGACCCCCAACCACTTATACATCACCGGGTGCCAGGGGCGTGGCCAAAGGTGAAAAAATGGCAGACAGCCTTGTTTGGCGACCCCCGTGAAATGGTCATTCGACCCCAAATGGGGTCCCAACCCACAGGTTGAGAACCACTGCCCTATACCATTACAGACAAATGGTTGTCCAGTCTCTTCTTGAAAATCTCCAGTGTTGGAGCATATACAACTTCTGGAGGCAGGTTGTTCACTGATAAATTGTTCTAACAGTCAGGAAGTTTCTCCTTAGTTCTAGGTTGCTTCTCTCACTGATTAGTTTCCATTGCTTCTTGTCCTGCCTCAGGTCCTTTGGAGAATAGCTTGACTCCCTCTTCTTCCAGCTTACAATATAGTGGTACCTCAGTACTCATCGTTAATTGGTTCCAGGAAGCACGATGAGTACTAAAAATGATGAGTACCAAACAAATTTTTCCCATAAGGAATAATATAGTGAGTCACAAGCAGCCAACACTGACAAGTTCTAGCTTCTGTGTACCAAACAAACTAAACAAACCAAACACCAGTACCAAATCAACAATGAGTACTGGGACAAAATTTTCATGTCAAAATGTGTTGAGTACCAAATTCAATGAGTTTCAAAGCAGTTGAGCTCTAAGCCAGTGTTTCCCAAACTTGACAATTTTAAGGCATGAGGACTTCAACTCCCAGAATTCCACAGCCAGCGTGGCTGTGGAATTCTGGGAGTTGAAGTCCTCATGCCTTAAAATTGTCAAGTTTGGGAAACACTGCTCTAAGCTATCACTGCATAGCAAAAAGTTTAAAAGAACTTAAAAAATTAAAATTTGAATAAAAAGATTAAAAGTTAAGAACCAAAATGATGGGCAGCCTTAAGGTGAGAATCATCTCTACTCTGTCAGCCAATCGCATTGTATCAGGGCCCAGACCAAGCAGCACAGCCAAGTTTTTAGAGTCTTCCAGAAGGCCAGGAATATAGGGGCAGATCTCACCTCTGATGGGAGAATATTCCAAAGGCTGGGGGCCACAACAAAAAAGGCTCTTCTCCTGGATCTTGCTAGCCAAATTTCTGTGGCTAACGGGATCCACAGTAGGCCCTTTCTGCTGGAATGAGTGGGACGGTTAATACCATTGGGGTAAGGCAATTCTTCAGATACCCTGAACTCACGCTATAAAGGCCTTTGAAGATGATGACCTTGTTTTTTGGCCAACATATCTTCCCCCTTTTCCCCAAGATTATCCATGCATTCCATTACAAAAGGTTTTCTCTTCCCAGGTCAGGAAAGAGACATCACAAAAAAACGTATTTGAACTCTGTTGACACAAAATATAATAGCAGAATCTTCAAGCCTGCCTAAGAATCTTTCTCCTCTTTATACTAAAGAGAATCAAGACAGGGAAATCTTGAGTGTTTATCTCACCCTCTCTACCTAGGCTAAGTAGATATTTACATAGTAGTAATGGATTGCCTTCTTCAAGACTATCTCTATCCTTGGCATCTTTTGTTCAAGCCACTGATGAGCCATTAGAAGAAAAGAATGAAGGAATCCAAAGATAACAGACAGAACTACTATTTCTTCATAAGTGGACTTGATAATTAACATCATGCATCAAATTAAAAGGCTCTCAGCTGATCCTAGTGGTTCAGCAGCCCATTTAAAAGGGAAAAAAATGAAGCTAATAAAGCTAAAAAATAGAGCTATTATATGTCTTTAAGAAAGACATAGGAAAAAAGAGAATGTTAACCTGTTGGGATGTAAGTAATCAAGCAAAAGATAAGTACAATTCAATATAAGTAAGTATAAAATGATCCATAATGGAGCTAATTATCCTAACTTAATATAAAAAATAATTTAGGAAGGCCTTCAAGGCACTTCCTGGTAATTCTAGGACTGTCATAGTTTTTGATTGGCAGAATCCATCGAGGCACAACTTAAATGAAATATGTACCTCCTTACTTGTGTGAAAATGCCAACTAATGTTTAATCACAGCAAGATAACTTAAGGGTGCTAGGATGGCTAAGAAATAAACTAGCCAAGAACGCACAGATATAGTAGACAAGGAAATTTAAATGAATCTTTTCCTGCTAAATTACATTACCATTTTAAATATGTTTATCTCTACAAGGTTTTTTTTAATACAAATAAAAGAAATAAAAATAAAGCTATGTAAGACAAATTCCTTGTGTGTCTAATTGCACTTGACCAAATAAAATATTCTATTCTTTCTACTGTTCTGTTCTATTCTAATTCTATTCGACTCGACAAACATACGCATGGATTTAATTATTAAAAGGTTATTTTTAATAGCTGAAATTTCATGAGATCAGTAAATCTCATATTTTCAGAATTATGAGGCTACCAAAAGTCGGTGGGGATAGGCCATCTCCAGCAACTAGAACTATTTAATATTTTTATAGTATCTTCATTTCATTTTTGCCTATATCAATGGTCACCTGCCATATTTTGTGGGTCATCAGTGCCTCTTGGACCATAAACCAGGAACCATCAAAGTAAAATTACCTTATCAGTGAGATGAGCAGGTTCCAAATTTGTTAAGTATAATAAAACAAATAAAAAATAAATGTGTGATTTTTGTCTACTTCTCCAAGGACTGGTGAACTGTAAAAGCATGAGAAAAGCTGAATCCATAGCTGGACACCTAATAATGTTCAGAAATGTTCAGTGTTGGAATAACACGGAAAATAAAAGCAGCTTTACCAAAAGTATGTTTTCAAGATCGTAACCTATTTCTGTTTATCCCTCTATCTACAAGCTACTAATCAAACCAGCAGGAAGACACACATGGTATGAGACTTGAAATTTCACCTGAATGTCATTTAATAATTCTCTCTCTGTGTACCTTATACAAAGGACGTCGAACATCAATGGGACAGTTCTGTATAACTTCATCCACAACATTCGAAATAGAGTCCATAAAATCTGGATTGGCAAACTAAATAAATAAGAGAGGCAGATAATCAAGTAATGCACATATAGAAAGCACTGGAATTATGAAAACTGGTTTAAACTTATAACAGCCGAAGTTATAACAACTGAAAAAAGTGTGCTGGTAATTCTCATATTATGGCCATTGGTTTAATGACCCTCCAAAGTTACGCTGCAGCTGAAAAATGTGACTTATGACTGGTCCTTGCATTTACGACCGTCACAGCATCCTCACTGTAATGTGATCAAAATTCTGGCACATATATGTACAATAGTTGCAGCATCCTGGTGTCATATGATTGCAATTTGTGACTTTGCCAGTAAGCTTCTGACAAGCAATGTCAATGGGGGAAGTGGATTCACTTTATAACCATGTGATTCATTTAAGAACCATGGCAAAAAGGTCACAAAATCAGGTGCAACTCATTTAACAATATCATCACATAGTGGCAGACATTCTGGTCCCAATTCTTGTCATAGGTCCTTCCTTGGAAGCTGACAAGATCTGTTGTAGGTGAGCAAGAGAAGTGACATGCAACCAATAATAACAAGGAACTGTCAAAGGTGGGGGGGGGACCTTCTCTGGATTCTATTCTGATTTATAAAAACTTACATAGAGCTCCTGAAAAACAAAGCCAGCTGAGTTTGTCAATAACAGCTCTTACACTTTAAATTTAATCAAATGACAGAGTTGGAAGGGACCTTGGAGGTCTTCTAGTCCAATCCCCTGCTCAAGCAGGAAACCCTATACCACAGGTCGGCAACCTGCGGCTCCGGAGCCGCATGCGGCTCTTTGAGCCTTGCCCTGTGGCTCCCAGCCTCCTCTGCCTTTGCAGAGAGAGAGAGAGACAGAGAGAGGCAATTGCGCTTCCCTGCTTCAATCTCTCTCTCTCTCTCTCTCTCTCTCTCTCTCTCTCTCTGTGTGTGTGTGTGTGTGTGTTTGTGTTGTGTGTGTGTGTGTGTGTGTATGTGTAAAAGAGAGTGCACTCACAGTGTTCTCCGAGGAGCTGAAAAGCTTACTGGGTGGAGCTCCTCCCTTTGCTGCATCTCTGCAGGAAGCAGGAAGGGCAGGAGAGAGCTAGTTAGCCCAGCTAGGCTGACTCAGGAATTCTGGGAGTTGAAGTCCATGAGTCATAAAAGAGACGAGGTTGCCTACTCCTGCGCTTGTTGGACAACAGCTTGAAACTTGCCAGGTGAGCAGCAGATAGAAGAGAGGGGGAGAGAAAGAGAGAGAGAGAGATGGAGAGAGGGAGGGAGAGAGAGAGGAAAGAGAGAGAGAGAAAGAAAGAGAGTGGGGGAAGAGGAGTGGTAGACCAAGGGCAGATAGAGAGGGAGGGAGAGAGACAGAGAGAGAGACCCTCTTGACATCTAAAATGAAGATAACACTGCATATATCCTTTTTTAACTTGTGTGTGTATGTGTATGTGTGTGTGTGTGTGTGTGTGTATACACATACATACATACATACATATACATACACACACACACACACACACATACACACACACAAATACCCCCACACACACAAACACACACACCTATAATAAAGGTAAAAAAGGATATATGCAGTGTTATCTTCATTTTAGATATCAAAAGGGTTTTGCAGCTCCCAGTGTTTTGTTTTTGATGGGAAACAGGTCCAAGTGGCTCTTTAAGTGTTTTGGGTTGCCTACCCCTGCCCTATACCGTTTCAGACAAATGGTGGTCCAATCTCTTCTTAAAGAGTTTCTTACGGACAAGATGACCAACCATTTTCTGGTTTTCTTGGATCATCTCAGTTTATGTTTATTATGCTAGCATTCCATCTGCTTTAGTGTTTGTCCTGGATTTTTCATTTTTTAGTGAAGTAGGATTGTTAATAACAGTTGTTTAGCAAGGCCAGCACTTTGTGAGTGCAAAATCAGCCCCAGACACTCTCCACTATTCCTCCCTTGCAAGGCTGCTAGCCAGATGCCCCCTTCTTCCCCAGAGCAACTAACTCATAAGCCTTCCACGTCTGTTTCCCTTGAGCCTTCATTCCCGGCTAGTTTTTCACCTTTCCCCGCACAAAAGGCCCCCGTTGGATGATAAAAGATAGGGCCATACTACATGTGGATCTTAACCGTAGCCATTAATTCTGCTGCTCAAAGAAGAGGTGGCCAAAAGAGATGAACGGCCATCTGTCCAGAATGAACATCATGTCAGAAACAAACAAAAAAAATAATTTGATGCAGTTCTACAGTACTTAAAGCAACTTTTTTTTAAATTTTGGGAACTTTAGAATGGGTGGATTTCAACACCCAGAATTCCTCAGCCAGCCTCCCTTCAATTCTGGGCATGAAGTCCACACATCTTAAACTTACTAAGGTTGAGAACGACTAATCTATATCAAGTGGAAGTTGTGTATTTTCTAACACTGTTAGAAAATAATTTGGCCATAAGTTGGTGCCTTACACCCATGAGTACCATTGCCTTCTTTCCTTCCTGCCTGCCTCCTGCCTGCCTTCCTGCTTTCTTATTACCACCCTTGCAACTACTACTACCTACTGCTGCTGCTGCTGCTGCTGCTGCTGCTGCTGCTGCTGCTGCTGCAATGACTTCTACTATAGCAATCTTGTCTCTTACCTCTGGATGAAAGAAAACCTCCGGCCCAAGGAATCTTTCATAGCCGACATCTATCGTAAATGTGTTTTTATTGATGGCATTGATCCCTGTGTATTGCTTAATCCATTTGTGGGGATCAGCATCATACTTTGCAAATTCTTTTACTATGTCAGGACAAATATAACAGTACTTTTCCTGCAAAGGATAAAATAAAGAAGGAAATTGTCTCACTGGATGAAAGAAGGTAAGATTAAAAGTATAACTTCTTTGGAAATGATCGGCATTCCAACTGCTCATTTGGAGGTTCTATATTGTACAATGTTGAGAAAAAAAATGTTTATTATCAGGACCTGAAAGCCATGAGTAAAAAAAAAAAAATGATCAAGAGACCTGGTGAGCTATGTTGACTTAATGGGATTGGGCAATATTTTGCATTTCAAGGCTGCCCCTTCAAACTGCTGTCGCTCTTTTCCTAAAATCACATGACAATTGCATCATGCAGGGCCTGCTGCATAGGCAAAAGAAGAAATAAAACACTTTTTAAGCCATGAACATCCACATAACATTCAGATATGGATCAGGCAAATTCTCCCTTATTCACCGAATTATAGGGAGGGCTTCTGTCATGGTTCCGGCAGATGAAACTCTTCAAAGAACTGAGGCATTGTTTACCTTAAAGAATCTATATTCAAGTAGCATAGCATCAGCATGTACATAGGCAAAGCCAAAATCTGAATTCCCCTCCCCTGAGCACAGAGTATCAAAGCACAATCCCCTCCTCTAATTAACAGTCATAAATCACATTCTCCAATTAGTTTGAAATGCAGGCTTTCCTTCCAGTTCTTTGACCCACCATTTCTTATCATCTCTTATTTCAAAAAACCTTGGTACTCACACTAGTTACAATATTGTTATGTCTAACTAAACTCCCATGCACATTCTTCCTCCCCCCCCCCAGTATCATCTAATTCTAACTCTAATTCTAAGAGTACAACATAAGAAGGAAAATGGCTGCATCTCCATATATTGTCAAAGCAAGAACATCCAATGTTAGCAGCATTGACAGGCTTACAGCTCAATCCAATTTGCAAGATTCTGTTATTATATCCAATCTCAATCAATGTAGTTTTAGTTTTGATTTCTTGGTCAAGTCCATCTAGTGAGGCTGACATTTATGTTCATTCCCCAGTGTGCTGGGAGCTGAAGTCCAACTATCTTAAAAGTTTTTTATTATTATTATTTAATCCTACCTTTACTATTTTAAAAAATAATTCAAGGTGGCAAAGATACCTAATACTCCTTCCTCCTCTTATATTGCCCACAACAACCCTATGAGGTGGGTTGAGCTGAAAGAGACTGAGTGACCCAAAGACATCCTGCCAGCTTCCATGCCTCAGGTAGGACTAGACTGGTGATTGGCCCAAAGACACCCAGCCAGCTTTCATGCCTAGGGCAGGACTAGGACTCACAGTCTCCAGATTTCTAGCCTTAACTACTAAAAACACTAAGCATTTCCTTGTCTCCAAAGGCAGCCTTCACAGAAGATCCCAGTTCGTAACCAGGCTATTCCAAGGATTTTGGAAGTGTTGGAACTAATTGTTGGAATGCTTCTGTGAAAAACAATCTGTTTTGAGGCTGGAGCAACCTATTCTGGGATTGAGGTATTCTGTGACAGAATGTTTTACAAGTCCCTTGTACCATCATTTTAAAATAAATGGGATATCCAGAAACCATGGGGAGCACACTTTACATTTCACCCATTTCCCCCACAATCTGTTCAGTATTTCTAGAGAATTTAGAGAAATAGAAAGTATTTACCTTTATAGCCTTTGCTGTTTCCAGGGATTGCTCTGGAGGGATCCCCATCTCCCTTTCCCTTAGGAGTTGCTGAATAAAATATGTGATGTCTCTTCCTGCAATGGGGATGTGCTTGATGCAGCTGCCAATTACGTAACCTTCTGCCTTCCAAAGTGGGGGAGAAAGTTACTCAGCTTTAGATGTCCAACAGTATAACCAGTTCAGAATCTGGGGCTGAGTGCATCCTGCTTATCAAATAGTTACAGTAGTCCTTGATTTACAGTTGGAACCAGAATTTCCATTGTTAAGCAAGTGTTGCTGTTAAGTGAATGTAGCTTGCTCCATTGAGCATGTGACCTCAGGACATGGCAACCATCGAAAATACATTCCAGTTGCCAAGTGCCCAGGTTTTGATCAAAAGCCCAGATTTTGATCAGTTAATCATGGAGATGCTGCAACAGTTGTAAGTATGAGCACTGGCTGTAAGTCACTTTTTTCAGCATTCCTGTAGCTTCAAATGGTCACTAAATGAATGGTTATAAGTCAAAACTATCTGTATTACTTAATAGAGCTTTAAAAGCAAAAAAAAAAAAAGTCAAGATGGCACACCACCTTGCAAGAATAGAATAGAATAGAATAGAATAGAATAGAATAGAATAGAATAGAATAGAATAGAATAGAATAGAATATTGAATGGAATGGAATGGAATGGAATAGAATAGAATAGAATAGAATAGAATAGAATAGAATAGAATAGAATAGAATAGAATAGAATAGAATAGAATAGAATAGAATAAGGAACTTTATTGTCACTTTAAATGTACACTAATCAGCATACATTAAAATGAAATTGTGTTGCATTCAGCTCTCAAAAAAATAGCATTATGCATATACCTACACACATATATGATACAGAGAAACATCACATCTAGTCTGAATGTATACATATACATGGTGGGGAAAAAGAATCCTGCAAATTTACAAGATTGATAATAAATTCTATGGTTTCAGGCATGACGCAGAAGCTTCTGGAAGCAGATGTGTTTGCTTTAAACAGCCACACACAGGTGTTGTGTTCATGTCTTCCCAAGTACATCCTCCAAAGCCATTGCACTTAATACATTTCCTCACCTCTTTAGACCTAAAACTTACGTTCTGATGTAACTAGCAGTACCCCAAAACAAAAACAAAAAACTAAGAGCATACAGGTACTCTCTTAACTTATGACCCCAACTGAGACTGGAATTTCCGTCATAAGTCATTGCAGTCAACTTGGACTCAAATTTATGACAATTTTTGTAGCAAACATTAAGTGCATCACTGCACTTGTTAAGCAAATCATGTTAACCAAATCCAGTTTTTCCCAATGGACATTTTTGTTTGCCAAAAATCAGCATAAAAGATTGCAAAATGTGATTGCGTGATTGTAGGACACTGCAATCACTCATCAATGAGAGCTGGTTGCCAAGCTCCCAAATTGTGATCCCATATGATCCTAAGTCGAGGACTATGTGTACATTGTACTTACCACTGGAATGACGTGAGTCACCCCATCACCACTGTCAACAACTGTGCCAGTTAAGGTACGGTTGCCAACTTGTCGTGAAGTCCAGGATGCAGCTAAGGCTAGCACTGCCTGTGAAAAGTAATTTGAAAAAATACGACAGTAATATAGAATTTCTCACCAATTTCCCAAAGAGTTGGTAAATTCCCAGCCTAAGTGGGACTCCATACAATCAATCAATCAATCAATAAATAAATGTCTTTCCTCTTTTTAAAAAAAACCAAAGAAAAGAAAACCTAAAAAACATTTTAATAAAATAACATTAAAAATAAAAGCACTTTCTATGCCTTCTGTAGAATGGCAGACTGGTCTTCCTGAATCAATATTTCCTGGACCAACTTTAAGAGCTGTGGACTTCAATTCCCAGAATTCCTCAGCGAGCATGCCCACTGGGAAATTCTGGGAGGTCTTGCTAAGGTTGAGAAACACTGTCCTAGAATAATGCCTTCCACTTCTACAGATGTTCTCTCTGGTCCCCATGCTAGTTAGTCCACAAACCAAAATAATCACGAGACTATGTCAGATTCCTGGAGCAGTGTCTAGACAGGAAAGGAACAGGGCTGCCTTGATTCAATAAGGCACTATTTGTGGTGGAAGAAGAAACATCTTTCCAAAGAATTGGCCCCAAACATGTTGATAACATTAACTGGAACGAACAGTTTCCCCTACTCTTTGTGAAGCTATGAATGGAAGGAAGGATGGATGGGAGGGAGGGGGAGGGAGGGAGGGGGGAGGGAGGGAGGAAGGAAGGAAGGAAGGAAGGAAGGAAGGCTAAAATTATGCAATAATGCAAAATGGAAAACATTTGGAAAAATAGTTCAATAAAATATTTGCTACAGAGATGAAATATAGTGAGATCACAGCAAAAGCCTTCCTTCCTTCTCCCCTTCCTTCCTTCCTTCCTTCCTTCCTTCCTAAAATCAAATTGACTTTGTAAGAATGACATCGCTTCCTCTTTCTATTTATATAAGATCAGATCTTTAGCAGTAACGTTCTCTATATCAATTACAGAAACTTTTGCTGGGAGGTTTAAAAAAAGTCAAGATGGCACCTGCAACTGCATGATCCAAACTCTGTTCCTTTTTAACAGATGTTGCAACTGCCATATTTATCTTTTGGACACCCTCTTCCAGAACATATTTTGAAAAAAACAGAACTAAATGCCCAGAGAAGCCTCTGTTTCCAGTGCCAAAAGCAGCATCCCAGGAAGAACCAATTTGATTTTACCTGCACAGCAATGTAAAGTCCAGGTATGTTAAATGATTCAAACATAATCTCTGCAAGATATTCTCGGTTTTCAGGTGTGTTCAGTGGAGGTTCAGTCTATTTTCAAAAGACAGAGTTAAATAAAGAAGATACCAATCACATATTTTATCAAGGTTGATAGATAGCATGTGTGTTCACTGAAATTCTCTCTTCTGACAGCTAAAAGTTTGACAAGAATATAGTTAGCAAACTAACAGCTAAATTTTTTGGAATATATTGGCAACAATTAAGCTAGTGTTGAATATTTACTGTCTCTTTTTTGTTTCCTTTATTGCTTAACGTAATATTCTGCTCTATTTATTCTCTCACTCTGGCTCTCCTGACTCTAATAAACTTTTTATAGAGATTCTTAGGATATTATTTTTTGGAAAGGGACAGTGTGTGTGTGTGTCCCTTGGGTAAAATCAGAATTGTGAATCTATTTATCAAATAAATCCTGCTCCAAGCTCCAACCGTTTGTGATGGGGACTTTCCCACTTTTTTTCTTTTAAGTGTGTGCTTATATTACTAATGTCAAAATGTGATATAAATAATGCTTAAACACGATATAGGGCAGGGGTCCTCAACCTTGTCAACTTTAAGACTTGTGGACTTCAACTCCCAGAAAGCTGGCTGAGGAATTCTGGGAAATGAAGTCCACAAGTCTTAAAGTTGGCACGGTTGAGGACCCCTGATATAGGGTACCATTTGCCTGTTGGTCTCACCATTAAAAAATAATGATCTTCTGGTTCTGCTCGAAGATATTTAAAAATAATATGCTCCATGAACCTTTCCATAAGATCCCAGTCTTCCACCATGCCATGTCGGATAGGCCACTGAAAAGAAGGAGAAAGGAACCATAGCATCATTCCATGAACGAAACTGTCATCTCTACCTTGAAGAAACAAAGGTTTCTTCTATCACCCCACTCAATCAGCACCTTGCGCAACATTATAATTTGGATGAGACTTGTGCCTCGGTCTTCAATATGAAAGATAGATGATATACTATGGCCCTGAAAACGAGAAGTTCCTTCACCTTCCTAGGAGTTCAATGGAGGTTTAAAAGAATGGCCTCACTTGGACATAAGACATCCCAGTTAAATCTGAGAAGGGTTTAAGGGGACAGTTCCAGTGCCTTAGACCAGGGGTGGGGAACCTTGGCTCGTTTATGTCTTGTGGACTTCAACTCCTAGAATTCCTGAGCCAGCCATACTTTTTGCTCTCCTAGACCCAAGCTTAGGAAGAATGTCCTGCAAATTTGTTCCATAGCCCAGCTCAAGGAACCCAAAGAAAAGATCAGATTCTATGCATCACTCCCCTTTACATGTCTATGGAGATTCTCAGTCATCCAGGTCAAGGTTGTCCTAAAGGTGCTTTTTTAGGAGGCAACTGGACTTTCTTCTTTTTCTTTGAAGATGTTTTGCTTCTCATCCAAGAAGCTTCTTCAGCTCTGACTGGATGGTGGAGAATGGAAGGATTTATATTTCTCGCAGACAGCTGGGGAATCCTTCCATTCCCCACCATCTAGTCAGAGCTGAAGAAGCTTCTTGGATGAGAAGCAAAACATCTTCAAAGAACAACAAGAAAGTCCAGTTGTCTCCTGAAAAAGCACCTTTGGGACAACCTTTTACATCTTACTAGTTTCTTCCTTCTAATGAATTTGTAACAAACAATACCAGTAGTCCTTGGCTTATAACCACAATTGAGCCCAAAATTTTCATTGTTAAACAAGGCAGTTGATAAATGAGTTTTGCCATATTTTACAACCTTTTTGCCAAGGTTGCGTGAATCAGTGCAGTTGTTAATGAATCAAGTGGTCGTTAAGGAAATCCTGCTCTTCCCGTTGGTTTTGCTTATCAGAAGCCATTTTGGAAGGTTATAAATGGTGATCACATGATCCTGGGACAGTGCAATTGTCATAATAAATACATGCAGTTGCTAAGTGCTTGAATTTTGATCACATCACCATGAGGATGCTGCCACGCTCATAAGCATCAAAAAAAGTCATTAGTCACTTTTTTCAATGCTGTTGTAACTTCAAATTCTTACCCAATTCTCTGCCCAGTCTGTTCCTATTCCTACAAATGGCCTTTGGTTTCCTCAAAAATCTCTTCTGCTGGATCTTCCTTTCAATAAATGCATCTTTATTGTAAGGTTTAGAGAAAGCAAGAGGCAGGGAGATGCAGTAATTTCAAAGGTGCTTTTTCAAAAGGCAGCTAGACTTTGCTTTTTTCCTTGAGAAAATCGCTTTACAAAATGGCTTCCTCAAGGAAAAAAAAACAGTCCAGCTGCTTTTCGAAAAAGCACATTTGAGACAATCATGACCTGGATGACTGAGAATTTGCATAGATACACAAACGCCGGGGCAAAGTAGATCAAAGGAAAACTAAATTTCAGGGAATGGGGAGACTTCCAGTTTTGTGCCTGCAGTGCATAGCCGCACGAGAGCGGACCTCCGCTCCCCACGCTTTCTTCCTGCTTGGGGGACCCTAGATGGTCCGAAGTTGCCCCGGAGAGGTGACCGTGAAGGAGGGTGCCCCGTGGATCACAAAGTGACAGCAATCGCTTCGTTTGATCTGGGGAAAACCCTCCAAACCTGACAGGAGAAGGCTAGCATGAGATCAGCATCTAGCCCAAGGTGCTTGCAGCCGAAAGTCCCAGAGCACGAACCTAAACATCCGTGAACAGCGTGCTTGGAATTGGTGAGAGTATTGATCTTCTATCTACTATCCAAATCCTCGAAAAGATCCCCAAAAGGAAGAAAACCTCCAGAAGTGAAGGGAGGGGACTATATCCCCATTCCCTTAAAGATGGAAGTGGTTAATTAATATAAAAGGAAGAAATATATTAAAATTTGATTTAAAATACATCAGTCTGGACAAATTTAGGAACTAAAAAACTGTCAAGATTATACTCTAAAAATTTTGATGGAATTATAAAAATATATAACAAAAATAACTTTTTAATTGAAAGAAAAACTGAAAAAAGAAATAACTGCTGACATTTAGTGGAGACTCAGCGAATAGAACACTAACAATAAGGACTCAGCAATTGGCAGAGTGCCTAGAAACAAAGAAAAAGTTGTTCCTTTGAATTGCAAATAACCTTGAAGACAGCTGGGAACAAAAGAAGAGCCAGCTATAAGATTAAAAAGTGTTTGAAAGAAAAACAAAACAGAACACCTGGACTGTTACTTAAATCTAAGAACTGTTCATGGAAAAGAAAAACCTTAGCTTTTTGGCTAATCTTTTAGAGGAGAATCTGTAGGAAGGATTTAAAGTGGTTTAACATACTGAACTATAATTTTGACTGACTGATAAATTGACTTTTGAATTAAAATATTGATGAAAGATTATTTGAAGGGGGGAGAAAAACATAGATATCACATTTGTTGTTGTTGTTAATTGCGAAGTCGTGTCCGACCCATCGCGACCCCATGGACAATGTTTCTCCAGGTCTTCCTGTCCTCTACCATCTTCTGGAGTCCATTTAAGTTCTCACCTACTGCTTCAGTGACTCCATCCAGCCATCTCATTCTCTGTCGTCCCCTTCTTCTATTGCCCTCAATCTTTCCCAGCATTAGGCCCTTTTCCAGTGAGTCCTTCCTTCTCATTAGGTGGCCAAAGTATTTGAGTTTCAACTTCAGGATCTGGCCTTCTAAAGAGCAGTCGGGGTTGATCTCTTCTAGGACTGACCGGTTTGAACGCCTTGCAGTCCAAGGGACTCGCAGGAGTCTTCTCCAGCACCATAGTTCAAAGGCCTCAATTCTTTTGCGCTCAGCCTTTCTTATGGTCCAACTTTCACAGCCATACATTGCAACTGGGAAAACCATGGCCTGGACTATACGCACTTTTGTTGGCAGGGTGATGTCTCTGCTTTTTAGAATGCTGTCTAGATTTGCCATAGCTTTCCTCCCCAGGAGCAAGCGTCTTTTAATTTCTTGGCTGCAGCCCCCATCTGAGGTGATCTTGGAGCCCAGAAAAATAAAATCTGTCACTACCTCCATTTCTTCCCCATCTATTTGCCAGGAATTGAGAGGGCCGGATGCCATGATTTTGGTTTTCTTAATGTTGAGTTTCAAGCCAACTTTTGCACTCTCCTTCTTCACCCGCATCAAGAGGCTCTTTAGTTCCTCTTCACTTTCTGCCATTAGAGTGGTATCATCTGCATATCTTAGGTTGTTGATATTTCTCCCGGCAATCTTAATTCCAACTTTTGATTCATCTAGCCCTGCCTTTCTCATGATGTGCTCTGCATATAAGTTAAATAGGCAGGGCGACAGTATACAGCCTTGCCGGACTCCTTTTCCAATTTTGAACCAATCAGTGGTTCCGTGTCCAGTTCTCACTGTTGCTTCTTGACCTGCATATAAGGTTTCTCAAGAGACAAATGAGATGGTCTGGTACTCCCATCTCTTTAAGAACTTGCCACAATTTGTTGTGATCCACACAATCAAAGGCTTTAGCATAGTCAATGAAGCAGAAGTAGATGTTTTTCTGGAACTCCCTAGCTTTCTCCATGATCCAGCGTATGTTGGCAATTTGATCTCTAGTTCCTCTGCCTCTTCAAAATCCTGCCTGTACTTCTGGTAGTTCTCGATCCACATACTGCTGGAGTCTAGCTTGTAGGATTTTAAGCATAACTTTACTAGCATGTGAAATGAGTGCAATGGTGCGATAGTTTGAACATTCTTTGGCATTGCCTTTCTTTGGAATTGGAATGTAAACTGACCTTTTCCAATCCTGTGGCCACTGTTGAGTTTTCCAAATTTGCTGGCAAATTGAGTGTAGCACTTTTACTGCATCGTCTTTTAAGATTTTGAATAGCTCAGCTGGAATACTGTCACCTCCACTAGCTTTGTTGTTGCTCAGATTTTCTAAGGCCCATTTCACTTCACATTCTAGGATGTCTGGTTCGAGGTCAGTGACCATCTCATTGTGGTTATCTGGGATGTTAAGCTCATTCTTGTATAGTTCTTCTGTGTAGTTTTGCCATCTCTTCTTAATCTCTTCTGCCTCTGTTAGGTCTCTGCCATTTTGGTCCTTTATCATGCCCATCTTTGCATGAAACGTTCCCTTCATATCTCCAATTTTCTTGAAGAGATCTCTGGTCCTCCCTATTCTGTTGTTTTCTTCTATTTCTTTGCACTGTTCATTTAAGAAGGCATTCTTATCTCTTCTAGCTACTCTCTGGAATTCTGCATTCAATTGGGTGTATCTTTCTCTTTCTCCTTTGCCTTTCGCTTCCCTTCTTTCCTCAGCTATTTGCAAAGCTTCCTCAGACAGCCATTTTGCTTTCTTGCATTTCTTTTTCTTTGGGATGGTTTTAGTTGCTACCTCTTGTACAATGTTGCGAACTTCCATCCATAGTTCTTCAGGCACTCTGTCTATCAGATCTAATTCCTTAAATCTATTTGTCACCTCTACTGTATATTCATCAGGAATATGATTTAGTTCATACCTGAGTGGCCTAGTGCTTTCCCTACTTTTTTCAATTTAAGCCTAAATTTTGCAACGAGAAGCTCATGATCTGAGCCACAGTCAGCTCCTGGTCTTGTTTTTACTGACTGTATACAGCTTCTCCATCTTTGGCTGCAGAGCACATAGTCAATCTGATTTCTATGTTGACCGTCTGGTGATGTCCATGTGTAGAGCCGTCTCTTGGGTTGTTGGAAAAGAGTGTTTGTTATGACCATCGTATTCTCTTGACAAAATTCTATTAGCCTGTGCCCTGCTTCATTTTGTACTCCAAGGCCAAACTTGCCTGTTATTCCGGTTATCTTTTGGCTTCCTACCTTAGCATTCCAATCCCCCATGATGATAAGGACATCATTTTTTGGTGTTAATTCTATAAGGTGCTGTAGGGCTTCATAAAACTGGTTAATTTCATCCTCTTCAGCACCAGTGGTTGGAGCATAGATTTGGACTATTGTGATATTGAATGGTTTGCCTTGGATTCGAATTGAGATCATTCTGTCATTTTGGGGATTGTATCCCAGTATTGCTTTTCCTATTCTTTTATTGACTATGAAGGCTACTCCATTTCTTCTGAGGGATTCTTGCCCACAGTAGTATACCTGATGGTCATCTGAGTTAAATTCACCCATTCCTGTCCATTTTAGTTCGCTGATTCCTAAGATGTCGATGTTCAGTCTTGTCATCTCTTTTTTGACTACGTCTAGCTTGCCTTGATTCATGGATCTTACATTCCAGGTTCCTATGGAGAAAAAATCTTTACAGCATCGGACTTTCCTTTCACCACTAGATATATCCACAGCTGAGCATCCTTTCGGCTTTGGCCCAGTCGCTTCATTCTTTCTGGCGCTACTAGTACTAGCCCTCTGCTCTTCCCCAGTAGCATATTGGACACCTTCCGACCTGAGGGGCTCATCTTCCAGCGTCATATCTTTTTGCCTTTTAGTACTGTCCATGGGGTTTTCATGGCAAAGATACTGGAGTGGTTTGCCATTTCCTTCTCCAGTGGATCACATTTTGTCAGAACTCTCTGCTATAACCTGTCCATCTTGGGTGGCCCTGCACGGCATAGCTTATAGCTTCATTGAGTTACGCAAGCCCCTTCGCCACGACAAGGCAGTAATCCATAAAGGGGGGATATCACATACATATCAAAAAATGACAGGATGCCACATTCAATATTTTCTCCTAAATGACATAGCCTGGAAAATCAAGGGCTTCCAGAAGCAATACTTCAAGGTAAGATAAATACTTTCCAGGAGGAAATATATGTAATGTTAGGACAAATACAAATGATAATAGACTCAAACCACGAGTAAATCCGAAACAACTCTGATGATTTAAATAAGCATATTTCCAATTAAATTTACAATTTAAAAACACCCAGGAAATAACAACAAAGGAACAAATAAATCAGACAGCAGACTACAAATTAGAAGAGTATGATCAAATTGATGAAACAACAAAGGAAAAGAATTACAATTTGGCACAAACAGGAAAAAAGCTTCAAAGTTCTGATACAACAAGAAAAATGGAATTTATCAGGAGAACCATCAAAGTTTGGGAGACAAAAAGTACGGTATTTATCTTACTTACTTCATCTTTTGTATTCCCAACAACATTTGTAAAAATACAGGAACTGATGGGTAAACAGATTACATCAACTTGGAAAATTATTCAGCAAAAGAAGAAGACTAGAGACAGATACAAGAGATTTGACTCGCCCTACCAGAAGGACTATTATATGAATAAACTTTTGTTTGAATATGGCTAAAAGAACAGAGAATTTTGAACACAAAGGGGCCTTATAACAAGAAGGATAAGAGATTTAAGTAATATAGTATGTTTTATAATATATGAAATGTTAAAATAGTAGGTTGATGTAACTTTTATTAATATATAAGTGAAATATAAACTGATTAAAAAGGATGTTATATCTAGATATTATAAGATAGATAAAAAGTATAGCATTTTTATAATGCATGATATAAAATATTGGGAGGATGTACTTAAATGGGAAAATTTGGACAGAGATGACTAATATGAAGAAATTATGACTGATAAGAATTGGATTGAATATAAGGGAATATAAGCGAACAAAAATTATAAAAATAGGATATATGCTGAACTAATGAGATGATGGTTATGAGAATAATATAAGCTGAAAAAAATGTTATATATAGCAAGATTATTATTATTTGTATAAATATAAAAATGCCTATATCTAATCATTTTTATATTGAAAATATAAGAATTATATTTTGGCTAAGGTTGAAGAAGGGGAATACAAACGGGAGAAAGGAAGATCAAAGAAATGTATCATTAATTAATATATTAATTATGGAATTATAAATTTAATTATTATTGATTGTTAATTAATTATTATTGTCCTTTTTTTCTTGTTAAAATATAAACCAAGACAACACCAGGACAAAACCAGGCACTGAAGATTGTTATAGTTAAAAACTAATGAAATATCTATAAAAAAAATTCAGGGAACGGGGATCAAATAGATGCAATAATTCATAATTCGAAGTGAACTTCAAATAGCCTTCGAGATTGGTTGGGACTACAACTCCCTGATGACTGGGCTAAATGGGAATTCTAGAAGTTGTTTAGTTAGAGTTAAAGCAGGGGGTTTTCACCTGAGATTTTAGGGATCCATGAATTCAAACGGAAAATAAATTATGACTTTATTTTCACCACTCTCTAATTTTCCATCCAATAATGAAACTAGATAACAACTGACAGCCTAAAAACTCCAAAAACATCAGTATCACTCGCTAAAATTATCCGAATTATTCTTTAATATTTGGATAACTATATTTGAGCATCAATGCTTTCCTCTGTAATGTAACCTATATCTATATATTTTATGGCAGGCCTTCAAATATACTTTTCTGGGAAGCTATACATAGCTTTCCACAGTCTCAAAGGATTCTATGGTAGAGAAAGATTAAGGACGCAGAATGTGCCAAAAACTTTACATGGGTTAAAAGAATATCTGCAGAGGAGGGCCAAAACAATCAAGATAGCGGTACGTCAATGTGATTTATATGCATGTAAAGGTAGTTCTTACAACTACCTTACAACTGTAATTAAGCCTGCGATTTCAATCATAAGTCTGACAGTCGTTAAGCAGATCACCATGTGACCATAGCCCATTTTACAATCTTTTTTACAGTGGTCATTAAGAGAGCACAGCAGTTGTAAACACCACAGTCATTAAGTAAACTCATTGTTTGCTATTTTTTTTTTTTTTGCTGGAAACTAGAAATAAGCATCAGTTTCCAGCAAAAGTGTCATAAATTGCAGTCATGTGACCATGCACTTCTGCAATCAGCCATAAGTGCAGGAAAGTTGCTGAGCATCCAAAAATGCAGTCACAAGAACCTGGGAAGGGAAGTACATTGGCACTTTAAATCCAGGTTTGTAAGCAGCCTTCTTTATGTCTGTCAAATGGTCACTAAGTGACTGATCATAAGTCAAGGACTTCCTGCAAAAACGAGCAGGGCTTCAATCATGTGGCCACATCTACCATCTTGATTTATTTGAATCCTTTCTGTGGATATCTGAAATGCAAAGAACTGGCTGTGACCCATTCCTTTGAAAGCTCAATGTATGAGAAGAGCAGGCAGAGGTGGGGGGTGGAGTTAAGCACATCATTAGCTTAGAGCAGCAATTCTCAACCTATGGGTCGTGACCCCATTTGGGGTCAAATGACCATTTCACGAGGGTCGCCAAACAACGCAGTCCGCCATTTTTTCCGCCATTTTTTCCCCTTTTCCTTAGCTGTGCTACTCCCTCTTATTCTATTGGCTTTCGAAAGCCAATAGAATTAGACTCTCTTGAACAGAGTCTAATTCTATTGGCTTTCAAGAGCTAATAGGAATTGTCCAGGCTGTCTCTGCCCTGCTGAGCCCGCCAAAAGCCCCAGTCTGCAAACGGTGCTGCAAGGCGAACATTCTGCAAAGCTTTCCTCCCTGCTGAGCAACTAAAAAGTAAGTAAAAGAGGGCTGGGGATGGGAGGTGGGAGGCTGGTGGGCACAGGGAGGGTTGCTGGTGCGCGTGGGGCCCGGCGGGTGCTTTACCTGCCTTGGGCTGGGCCAGCTGGTGGCCCAGCTGGTGGTCGCCCTGCGCCGTCGCTGCCGTGGCCGCCTGGGAGCGCCTGGGCCTGACTGCCACCGCCCTTAATGGGCGGCGGCCAAGGTAAGGTTAGCGGGACAGCGGCAGACGCAGGGAGAGTTGCTGGCGCGCGTGGGGTCCAGTGGGTGCCTTACCTGCCTTGGGCTGGGCCAGCTGGTGGCCCAGCCAGTGGTCGCCCTGCGCCGTCACTGCCGCGGCCGCCCGGGAGCGCCTGGGCCTGCCTGCCACCGCCCCTTGCATGCGCGGCGCTCCCGGGCAGGAAATACAGGTAGTTCTCGACTTACGACCGGGGTCGCAGCTATAAAAAGGTTGAGAACCACTGGCTTGGAGTCATTACGTTCCCATTACGTCTAAGTCCAACCTCTCTTGAATTCTGTTCTTAATTGGTGCCAATTTAGTACTGAACTTTAACTGATGAGATTCTCAAGTATAGTTTTGAGCAATAAATCTTCTGAAAGTGAAACTCAGCATATGTTCCTGATTCTTTGTGCCCAACATTCCCTTTATTCATTCCAACTTTACCTTTATAGCATAGGTGGGTTTAATGAGAGCTTCATCTCCAATGAAAAAGTCTAGATCATCCACGCCTTGGGCCAGTCTCCTCTGTGCCTGGTCACCTACTTTGGCTGATTCTCTTATTGCAATGCCTAAATGAAAGAGTTGCAAAGCAAATAATCAAGCCTGTTGATACCCTTGCTTTGGGGAACAGTTAAATATTTGCTGTTAGAGAGGTGCTTTGTCCCACAGCCAGATGGCATTTTCAATTCAGAATACAAGCTGCCCAAATGGTACCCCAAGTAAAAAGTCTTTCAAGCTGTATCCATGGTGTCAGGTAAAAAAGGAAGTCACTTGTTCGTCAAGGCAGATCTCTGGCAGCCACATAATAGAGATAGGAAGGAAAGAGGATTTGTCATAGCAACCAGAAAGTGGTTTAATGAGGGCCAGTCTTGGCAAGGAGACCTTTGTCTCTCCAGCTCCATATTAGCCAAGGACACTAATGTAGTAAATACTACTTCACAGAAAGAGACCCACACATCCCACCCTCAACCCCCCCAAGGAAACTCACTAGACAGTGCAGAAGCCAAATGCTCGTCTCTTTCCACTGATGAGCACGTATTTTGAAAACAGAGCACCCTCTACTTACATGATGGGATAATAAATTGTGGTTCAGTATTTCCGGCGTAACCCAGTTTTGTGTACCTAGAATAAGAAGCAATAATCAGAGACTCGGTGTGGTTTAGCCAAGCCAAGTGTATACAAATCAGCTTGTAAATAAATGCATCGTGTTGTGCCAGCTTTTTCTGTATAAAATAAAGACATATTGTGATCAAGAATTTCATGCAGGTAAATGCATAACATTTCGTAAAGCACAAATACGCCTCTTCATCCAAATTGCTGGGTTTCTACACCTGCCCTGGAGAAAGGCAACATAAATAGTAGAAGACTTGGAACAAATGCAAATGTATACAAGACTCCATTTTCAAAATCAATCTGCAACAGGGATGGCCATAAAGAAATCTTATTTCACTTTCACCACTGCTGAAACCTTGAAAGCAGGGGTGTCCAACCTTGGCAACTTTAAGACTTGTGGACTTCAACTTCCATGCTGGCTGAGGAATTCTGGGAGTTGAAGTCCACAAGTCTTAAAGCTGCCAGGGTTGGATACCTCTGCTTTAAAGATATTTTGGTAATGATCAATTGTATATCATTGTTCCAAAGTGTCTGGAAGGAGGGTATCAGAATGCTGATCAACATCTTCTGAGAAGACCTTTCAACAATTGACTAATGCAGTGGTTCTCAACCTGTGGGTCGGGACCCCATTTGGGGTCAAACGACCATTTCACGGGGGCCGCCAAACAAGGCTGTCCGCCATTTTGTTCCCCCTTTTCTTTTTGCCACGCCCCTGGCACCCGGTGATGTATAAGTGGTTGGGGGTCACCACAACATGGGGAACTGTATTATGGGGTCGTGGCATTAGAAAGGTTGAGAACCACTGGACTAATGGAACAGCTTGCCTTCACTGGAGGTTTTTAAGAAGAGATTGGACTCTCTGAAACTGTCTAAAATAATATAGGGACTCCTGCTTGAGCAGGGGACTGGACTAGAAGACCTTTAAACTCTATTCTGATTATTATTACCTATCTTGGTCATCTATAAGCCTAGAGTGCAAAGCAAGTTCAGCAGAAGAGATAGGAAGATCATTACATCTATAGACATCTTTTGTCTCACATACTGCAATCCCCAGCATTTATGTGTATAAATGCATAAAACAATGCATGAGTAACTTAGCAACCTTTTATTTTAGATTAATTGTATATCCTGAATAAATACATAGGAATTACATGAAAGATTTTAAATGGAAAAATAATTCAAAATTTTCCAAAGCTAAGTTTGACAATTGCATATAATTCATCTAGCTCAGGGTTAGGCAACCTTGGCTCTTTTATGACTCATGAACTTCAACTCCCAGAATTCCTGAGCCAGCTATGCTGGCTCAGGAATTCTGGGAGTTGAAGTCCACGAGTCATAAAAGAGCCAAGGTTGCCTACCCCTGACCTAGTTCTACAGCATGTACCTATATTGACTGGCAACAGTTAATCAGTGGAATGGTTTCCTTCCAGAAGTTGTGGGTGCTCCAACACTGGAGGTTTTCAAGAAGATAGGGGACAGTCATTTGCCCAGCATGGGGTCTCCTATTTTAGCAGGGGGTTGGACCGGAAGATCTCCAAGGTTCTCTCCAACTCTCTTATTCTGTCTTCCCTTATAACTTTTAGTCCTAAAGGGGGCAAAGCACAATTTTAAGGATTATTCCTTAAACATTGTTTGCTCTTTATTTAATAAATAGATCAAGTGGAAAAGGATATTTAAAGGACATTTGCTAGAATTTCTGCAGCCCTTAAAACTTCCTTCATAAGAATTATTTTTTCTGTACAAATAAGCATACTTTAGCAGACCAAATTAAAAAACAATCTGGATACTGTTTTCAACCTACAGAGAGGCCGTTCTGGCTATCCATAACCAAGGACTATTTTATAACTATCTATGCAAAGCATATTGTCCATGGGATTTTCATGGCAAAGATACTGGAGTTGAATTGAGGCCTTTGAACTATGGTGCTGGAGAAGACTCCTGCAAATCCCCTGGACTGCAAGGCGATCAAACCGGTCAGTCCTAGAGGAGATCAACCCTGACTGCTCTTTAGAAGGCCAGATCCTGAAGTTGAAACTCAAATACTTTGGCCACCTAATGAGAAGGAAGGACTCAATGGAGAAGGGCCTAATGCTGGGAAAGATTGAGGGCAAGAGAAGAAGGGGACGACAGAGAATGAGGTGGCTGGATGGAGTCACTGAAGCAGTAGGCGTGAGCTTAAATGGACTCCAGAAGATGGTAGAGGACAGGAAGGCCTGGAGGAACGTTGTCCATGGGGTCCCAATGGGTCGGACACGACTTCGCAACTAACAACAATAACAACAATGCAAAGCATGTTCTCAATTGCAGAGCTGTAGTTCTTTTCTCAAAAATAATCAACATTACCTATTTATTTATTTATTTATTTATGCTTTGATTTATTAATACTCTGCTTTTCCAGTCTGAGAGAACTGGAATAATGGAGACCTTGCAAATGAACGGTGTGTACTGTATAGGATTCAGTGTTCAGTCTTCCCCATGAGATAGTATTAATTCAGACCGGCAAAAGCTGGCCCTCAATTCCTAAGCCTTCACGCAAATACTTGTTCTTCAACAGGCAGCATAAGAGATAGAGCTGTTAGAAAAGCAAATAGGGTTAGAAATCTCTAGAATATCTCACCTGTTGACTAGACTGTGAAGTCCCCCCCCCCCAAAAAAGCAACAGCAAAAACTTTCCCATATTTCTGTATGAATAGTTGCAGCCATAAGGCGATCAGACTCAACATAACTCAACACAAACAGGAGACTTTACTTTTAAGAAAATTGTTAGTTTGATTGGTCCTACCTTAGAAATCAAGACACTGTGAGTTCGAATCCCTCACCCAGCTGGCTGGGTGACTTTGATCCAATTATGAGGAGACTGTGAGTTCCACATTAGATATAAAAATCAACTGGGTAACTTGAGTCACTCCCTCTGAGCACAAACCACCTTACAGGATTGTTGTTGTGGGGAAAATGGGATGAGGAAGGAGTATTAAGTAAATTCATTGCCTTGAGTTACTTATGAAGTAATAAAGATGAGATAGGAATGTAATTAAGAAATAAGTAAAAATATTATGACTCTTATATCTCCCCATCAAAATGGTAGATCTTAATTCACTTTATTATGCAACCCTCACCAACCTGCTACCCTCCAAATATCTACAGTTTACAAATACAGATTCACAGCCTCACTGTTAGTCTTAGCCAACTGAATGAAGAATGCAAAAACAGAATGCCTAAAAATGGAATTTTCAAGGCTGCTCCCAACCTCTTTCTTCAAAATGTCAGGTTCTGCTCCGTAGGAACACATTTTGGTTATGCCTGCTTTGCATGCAATGTTCAGAGACGTTTTGGCACCTGAAGTGAAATCAATCTAACATGTCATTACCTCTCTAGAATTAATGTCATTATCTGATATGGTATACAGGACTTTGATCTTGCAATCCAGATATGCTCTGAGAGGTTGTATCAATTTACAGGACAATCCTCAGCAGGTTTCTCAGAAGTCCTAGAAAGTTCATGGAGACCTTCTCTTGAAATACAGATATATTTAGCAATATTGATTCAATTGCAAACTCTACACCAAAAATGAAAAGCCTGCAAGCTGACCAGATTGCTCATCTAACTGTAATTAAATATGGGATTACTAAATTAGGCCTTCGTTAATATATGCAATGCCACCTCAGTCGGATTGAATAACATCAGAGGCATGCCATCTAGGAAGTTTTAAATAGATCAGAATGCCTCCCGACTTTAGGGTCAATGTGTAAGCTGATCTCTAGAACTGCAGAAGAGAAGGATTGATAGAAACTAAAAGGAGAATTGAAACAGGCAGATAGTGTTGTGTTATGCAGCTATTAATAGGTCCACCTAGATTTGGTCTAGTGCAGTGGTTCTCAACCTTTTTAATGCCGCGACCCCCAACCGGTCGTAAGTCGAGGACTACTCAACCGGTCATAAGTCGAGGACTACTCAACTGGTGCAGCACCGTTTGCAGAATGGGACTTTTGGCGGGCTCAGCAGGGCAGAGACAGCCTGGACAATTCCTATTGGCTTTTGAAAGCCAATAGAATTAGACTCTATTCAAGAGAGTCTATTCTATTGGCTTTCAAAAGCCAATAGAATAAAAGGGAGTAGCACAGCTAAGGAAAAGGTGGAAAAAATGGCGGACTGCGTTGTTTGGCGACCCCCGTGAAATGGTCGTTCGACCCCAAATGGGGTCCCGACCCACAGGTTGAGAACCACTGGTCTAGTGGTTAAACCACCAGGCTAGAAACCAGGAGACTAAGAGTTCTAGTCTTCCCAGGTGACTTTGGGCCAATCACCAGAAGACTGTGGGTTTTAGTCCCTCTTTAGGCATGCAAGCCGGCTGCGTGGCTTTGAACCAATTATCAGGAAACTGTGAGTTCTAATCCTGCCTTAGGCATGAAAGCTGGCGGGGTGACTTTGGGCCAATCACCACTGAAAATTGTGAGTTCTAGTTCCACTTTAGGCATGAAAACCAGATGACTTTCAGCCAGCCCACCTTACAGAGTTACTTTTGTTGGGAAAAACAGGAGTATTAATTGTGTCAGTGCCTTGAGTTATTTATAAAAATAAAGACAGGATAAAACAAAATCTAAAACAAAAAAAATCTAAAATAAAACTATCCCAACGATGCTATGGAGTTTAGAAGGAGGACAAGTCCTTAATGAACAATGGATCTATCAATTACCAAAACAATGTTGTACTGCATGACAAAGAGATGCAGATTTATTAGCATCTAACATCCTTACAACCCATCAGGGACACAGACTGATGCAACCACTGTAATTTGGATAGCTGATTATTAGGTACAATAGAAATCAGAAATAGCCCTTTTCTATTTCACTTCTATATTAACAAAGAAAAGATTGTCCATTTACAAGATTATACATATGATGGGCTTGTAGGTACATTTACAACCAAAAGTGAGCAAAGCAGTTGTTAACCAAATTGTGCCCCATTTTATGAATTTTTGCCACAGTTATGAGCAAATCACTGCAGTTGTTAAGTGAATCGTGCAGTCATTAAGCAAATCTGTCTTCCTCTATTGACATTGCTTGTCAGAAGCAAGCAATGGTGAAAATGATAATCCCAGGATCCCAGGATTTTGCAACCATTACAAATTCATGATGGTTGTGAAATGCACAAATTTTGATCATGTGACTGTGGGATTGCTGCAACGGTCATAAGTGTGAGAACTGGTCATAAGTCTATTTTTTCAGTGCAGTGACTTTGAATGCTCATTTAAGGAATGTTTGCAAATCAAGGACTATCTCTGCACTTCTAAAACAAGGATGCACAGCCATCCTTGTATCTTATGAATTCTGATTTGGTTTTCATTGCTTCACTCTTATTATTGTTTCTTTCTCACAATAAGGTGACTTTAAATACATGTTTGTGTTATGGTAATAAAAGAAGAAGGCTCTTAATCACTCTTCTCGACTCTTACCTATAGTTTTGCAAATAATGCCCGGCGTATAATTTAATTCTTTAATTACACTGGGATTTCCTCCCATTGGTTGTCTGAATTAATGTATTAATTAATGTTGATTTCATACATTAAGTTTTGTCTTTTTTCTATGTTTGATCTGTTTCAGGATCAGGATAAAAACATTCACAGATTGTGACAGCATGATGAAGGTTGTGCTGCTTAATGAAATTTTACTTTTTAACGTTACTTCCTCAGAAAAAAAGCAAACTAGGAACCAAAATAAACAGGATTTCCAAATCTTTGAAAAATTTGTCTTTCCCAAATGAGACATGTTTTGAAAATAATCTGTGATATGGTATGAAAGATCAGTCAAGTTACAATGGCACTGGGAAAAGTGGTGTACAACTGGTCCTCACAATATTCCCACATGATCCCATATGATCAAAATTTGGGAATTTGGCAGCTGGCATTTTTGCAGAGTCCAGAGGTCACGCGGTCACCATTTGCAACCTTCCCAACCAACTTCCAACAAGCAAAGTCAATGGGGGGAAGCCGGATGCACGAAACAATTATAATAATTATGGCTTAACAATCATGGCAAAAAGGTCCCAAACTCAGACGCTCAGACACACAACAACCACTTTACTTAGCAATGAAAATTCTAGTCCCAATTATGGCCGTAAGTTGAGGACAGCCAGTTTAGTCTAGTGCAGGGGTCCTCAACCTATGGACACTTAGTCAGCAAGCTGCAGAAATTGCTGGCCAGGGCACGCACGTGTGGGCACACATTTCTCATTCGTGCTAATGCCCATGGCCCTGTTTGTGCATGTGCATGGGTGCAAACAGGAACGCACACCCAGTTCGTGCATGCGCATGGTGCCGGTGCATGCTGCATGCGCGAACGCGGCTGCTAGTACTGCGCCAGTTTGCGTCCGTGTCCACGGGCGCACACACAGTAATTTGGAAGGTGCTTTCCCTTCCGGGCTGCAAGCCTGGAAAGATTGGAAAACTCTGGTCTAGTGGTTAAGGCACCCAGGCTAAAAAGCAGGAAACTGTGAGTTCAAGTCCTGCCTTAGGCATGAAAACCAACTGTGGGTGATCTTGGGCCACTCACTCTCTCTCAGTCCAGCCAACCTCACAGGCCTGTTGTTTGCGGGAAAATAGAAGGAGGAATATATTGGATATATTCGCAGCCTTGAATTATTTGTAAAATTAATAAAGGCAGTATACTAATACATATACATACAGGTAGCCCACAATTTCAGCCATTCGTTTACTGACCATTGGAAGTTACAATGGCATTGAAAAAAGTGATGTATGACCTTTATGCACATTTATGACTACTGCATCATCCCCAGAGTCACATGATTAAAATTTGTACACTGGGAAACTAGCATGTATTTATGACAGTTGCAATAATAATAATAATAATAAAGTTGGAAGGGACCTTGGAGGTCATCTAGTCCAACCCCCTGCTCAGGCGGGCAGGAAACCCGACACCATTTTGGACAGATAGCTGTCCAGTCTCTTCTTAAAAACTTCCAGTGTTGGAGCATTCACCGCTTCTGGAGGCAGGTTGTTCCACTGGTTAATTGTTCTCACTGTCAGGAAGTTTCTCCTTAGTTCTAGGTTGTTTCTCTCCTTGATTAGTTTCCATCCGTTGCTTCTTGTCCTGCCTTCAGGAGCTTTGGAGAATAGCTTGTCCCAGAGTCATGTGCTCAAATCATTGTGACATTCTGACAAAGTCAATGGGGAAGCCAGATTCACTTAACAACTGTGTTACTAGCTAAATAACTGCAGTGATTCATTTAACAACTATAGCAACAAAAGTTCGCAAAATGGGGCAACACTCACAACCGCTGTCTCGCTTAGCAGTAGAAATTCTGAGCTCAATAATAGTCATAAGGAGTACCTATACAGAATGGCAATCTGAGCTAGTTGCCACGACAAGTAGAATCTTTAGCAAAGTAGCTCAGTTCTCAAGTTTTGTTCTCTGAATGTTTGCTGGGAGGAAAAGCTAAAACGGTAGGAAAATTGGCGAAAATATGCAGGCCAGAATCACTCAGGAACTTCGGTTGGGGGTCCCATCAAGCCAAGAGAAGGGAAGGACCCCTTTGGAAGATCTGCAGCTAAGGAACGTAGAGAGCCAAAGGAATGGGACAGAGAACGAATGGAACCCATATGTTAAACAAGTGGAAAATGGAGCTATAAAATGAGGGCTGGTTTTTTTTTTGTGGGGATTCCCAGGGCTTGCAAGAAAGTGTGGCAGAAAGCTAAGAAATAAGAGAGAACTAGTTCAGTGTGAATTTTTAGAGACAGTGACAAAACTGGGAAAGGATGGGAGAAACAGATGCTTAACTGGTTCTTTCTCCTTATATAATCAAGGACGAATGGCTGGCTCTACTTGACTTCTGATAGTTTGAAATTTGTTTGCTTTTTCAGAAGAGGAAAGAACACAGCTATTTGCCCCTTGGTGTGTGTCCTTGCAAAGAAGTCAAGGAGAGGCAATTATGGGCCCCAGGCTTGGAAGGGCAGGGAGAAGTGACTCAAGAAGGGTGCAATCCTCACTAATCTCTGGGGCCTCCAGCTAATTATTTTTAAAAACAACAGAATGAGACTGCTGGGGGGGCTGAGGCGGGATCTGGCATTAGGGGGAAGCTGAGGCACCAGAAAAAAGTTGTCCTTCGGGGAGGCTTCAAAAGACAGGACGGAGCCCTACAACTAGTTCAGGATTGCGAGGGAAAACCGCGTAGAAGCAAAGCACGTGGTTCTTTTTAGCGCAGCCCTCCGTGAGAAGAAGCCTCCACTTGGCACAAGGACCCTCAGCTCTCCTAGTCCAGGCACGGGGTGAGATGAGGAGGTCTGACTTTGGATCTAGAGCAGGGCTGGAAGGAGGTAGAAAGAGCGTCCCTGTCCTGAGATCAAGGAGGAGGGCTGGAGCAGGTGCAGAGAGCCGATATGTCTGGACCGAAAGTAAACCTCCGTCTACCAGGAGAGCAGAGCCAAGGGGCTAGTGCTGGCGGAGGAAAGGGGGCGGAGGGGGTTAGGGAAAGGGCCAAACCGGCCACCTGTTCCGACGCTGAGATGGGAGGAGACGAGCAGGCAGCGGCGATTTGCTCGACCCTACAGGGCAGCCCTGCCCAACCCAGCCAAGCCGCTAGTGCTGCGTGAGGAGGAGGCGATCCCGCGAAGGGCAGCCCGCGCCTTAGCGGCTCTTGCCCTCGGCTTTCGCAGCGCTCACTCACCCGGTGCCGCTGTCTACGACGCAGGGCGGCAGGCGGCTCGCCATGCTCGGCGCTGGGATCCGGGAGGAAGGAACCCGATTCCCGGAGACCGCCGCAGCTACGAGCAGCCCGGCAGCGCCGGGAGCCGCGCGCCTGCGCCCAGCCTCGGTACCCACGTGTGCGGCGTGCCAAGGCTGCCTGGCGGCCATCTTGGGAGGTGGCAGCGCTGGGCAGTTACCCGCCCGCTTCCCAGGGCGAGAAACCCCAGCTGGAGAAAAAAAAATCCGGGCGCCTCGAAAAGCAGGAAATTGCCTGCTAAAAGTCCATGGCGGCTGTTCTTATCGCTTGCCAAAACAACACAACTCATGCTGATTTCCAGATTGTTATATTTATTACAATGCCCTAACCTTAGCGATGTATTGTATATTCTTAGTGTGTTTTATTATTGGAAGGAGAGCAGTTTGGTGTGGCGTTAAAGACATCAGCTAGAAACCAGGAGACCCCGAGTCCACCCTGTGCACAAAGGCAAAAGAGTCATTTTCTCTCAGTCCTAGAGCAGGAAGAAGACGAGGAGGGAAAGCCAACCCCAGAAATTGTGGCCAGGGAAACCGCATGGTCTTATTTCTTTTTTTAAAAAAAGTTTTATTATTTTTTTTTACATAATCACCTTAATATTTGGTAAAAATGTCTATATTTAAGTGTTATTTATCTAAATAATAAGGGTCTTATTTCTGAAGTGACTAAGAAGATGATTAACTTTAAATGCTTATTGTTGCATTGCTTTTATATGTTGTTTAGCATTGCTTTGAGTTAAGTGTGCTTAATGAATTAATTAACAGTTTGAAATCCCAATGCAAGCTGCTAAGTACAGGTAGTCCTCGACTTACGTCCACAATTGAGCCCAAAATTTCTGTTGTTAAGTGAGAGATGTTAAATGAGTTTTGCTGCATTTTATGACTTCCCACAGTTGTTAAGTGAGCCACTGAAGTTGATAAGTTAGTAATCCAGTTATTAAGTGAATCTGGCTTCCCCATTGACTTTGCTTGTCAGAAGGTTGCAAAAGGCGATCACGTGACCTTGGGTCATAAATATGGAACCAGCTTTGTCAAGCATCTGAATTTTGATCACATGATCAAGGGGTGCTGCAAAGGTCATAACTATGAAAAACTGTCATAAGTCACATTTTTTCAGTGCTGTTGTAACTTTGGCCGCTAAACAAACTATTGTTAAGTTGAGGCGGCACTCAGAGCTCTCTCTGGGCACGCACACCACCGCTGGCAGCAGCTTGCGCAGGTTATTAGGCTGCTGCCGCCGCCCAGAGCAGCAACCCCACCCAGCACAAAGGAGGCGAAGCAGCCAGCTAGCAAGCTCGAGTAGAGGTGGTAGAGCACACCCACACCCAGCAAGCCAAAGACCACCCCGAGCAGGGAAAGCTGGATCCCCATCGGCGCCATGGCCCCCCAGTCCCAGCTAGGATTGTGTGCCTCCTCCCATCTATGCTGGGCCTCTTGCCCACTGCCCCACCCTCCAGAGACCCCCTGGATCTCCCCAACCCTGCCCGGTCGCACAGGTGTGCCCCCCATGAGCAACATCGAGGTGGCCATGCCCACCCCAGCCACGCCCACTCAATCTGCTGTGACAAAACCGCAGCCATGCCCACCCAGTGGGCCATGCCCCCATGCCCCCCCGAGGGCACCACAATGCTAATGCAGCCCTGGCACTAAGCGATAAATAAGTGGGTTTTGGGTTGCGGTTTAGGCACTTGGTCTCTAAAAGATTCGCCATCACTGATCTATATTGTAGCTGACCTTCAGATTCCAAAATACTTTCACATCCATATCAGGAATTCAGTGTCAGCGGTGTCCACTTTGGAAGTGGATCTGGACAGACTTGAACACTGGGCGCTATCTAACAAAATGAAATTCAATGGTGAAAAAAGTAAGATTCTACATTTAGGCAAGAAAAACCAAATGCACAGGTATAGTATAGGGCAGTGGTTCTCAACCTTTCTAATGCCGTGACCCCATAATACAGTTCCCCATGTTGTGGTGACCCCCAAGTGGGTGTGCCCACCAATAAGAGAGAGTAGGACAGCTAGGGAAAAGGGAAAAAATGGCGGACAGCGTGGGTTGGCGACCCCCGTGAAATGGTCGTTCGACCCCAAATGGGGTCCCGGCCCACAGGTTGAGAACCACTGGTATAGGGGGTACCTTGCTCAATAGTAGTAACTGTGAGAAGGAGTCCTAGAGGACAATCACCTAAATATGAGCCAGCAATGTACTGCAGCTGCCAAAAACGCCAACACAGTGCTAGACTGCATTAACAGAGGGATAGAATCAAGATCACGCAAAGTATTAATACCACTCTACAATACCTTGGTAAGGCCACATTTGGAATACTGCATCCAGTTTTGGTCACCGCGCTGTAAAAAAGATGTTGGGACTCTAGAACAGTGGTTCTCAACCTGTGGGTCGGGACCCCATTTGGGGTCGAACGACCATTTCACGGGGGTCGCCAAACAACGCAGTCCGCCATTTTTTTTCCCCTTTTCCTTAGCTGTGCTACTCCCTTTTATTCTATTGGCTTTTGAAAGCCAATAGAATAGACTTTCTTGAATAGAGTCTAATTCTATTGGCTTTTAAAAGCCAATAGGAATTGTCCAGGCTGTCTCTGCCCTGCTGAGCCCGCCAAAAGTCCCATTCTGCAAACGGTGCTGCACCAGTTGAGTAGTCCTCGACTTATGACCGTTTGAATAGTCCTCGACTTACGACCAGTTGGGGGTCACGGCATTAAAAAGGTTGAGAACCACTGCTCTAGAAAGAGTACAGAGAAGAGCAACGAAGATGATTGGGGTCTGGAGCAGTGGTTCTCAACCTTTTTAATGCCGCGACCCCCAACCGATCGTAAGTCGAGGACTACCCAACCGGTTGTAAGTCGAGGACTACCCAACCGGTCGTAAGTCGAGGACTTTCCCTGCCCAGGAGCGCCGTGCATGTGTGGTGCCGCCCCCTGCACCGACCGAGGCGTAGCTGGCAAGTGGCAGAGACAGAGCAGGCCGACCACTGGCTGGGCCACCAGCTGGCCCAACCAAAGGGAGGTAAGGCACCCACCGGGCCCCACGCGCGCGAGCAACCCTCCCTGCACCCACCGACCTCCCACCCCTGGCCCTCTTTTACTTACATTTTTAGTAGTTGCTCAGCAGGGAAGGGTGGAAATTTCCAGACAGCTCACCTTCACTACAGACAACTTGCAGCACCGTTTGCAGAATGGGACTTTTGGCGGGCTCAGCAGGGCAGAGACAGCCTGGACAATTCCTATTGGCTTTTGAAAGCCAATAGAATTAGACTCTATTCAAGAGAGTCTATTCTATTGGCTTTCAAAAGCCAATAGAATAAAAGGGAGTAGCACAGCTAAGGAAAAGGGGGGGAAATGGCGGACTGCGTTGTTTGGCGACCCCCATGAAATGGTCGTTTGACCCCAAATGGGGTCACAAGCCACGGGTTGAGAACCGCTGGACTGGAGGCTAAAGCATATGCAGGAGAAGAAGCAATGGGTGGAAACTAATCAAGGAGAGACGCAACCTAGAACTAAGGAGAAACTTCCTGAGTTAGAACAATTAATCAATGGAACAACCTGCCTCCAGAAGCGGTGAATGCTCCAACACTGGAAATTTTTAAGAAGAGACTGGACAACCATTTGTCTGAAATGGTATATGGTTTCCTGCCTGAGCAGGGGGTTGGACTAGATGACTTCCAAGGTCCCTTCCAAGTTTTATTATTATTATGGATCATCGCACAGTCAGCCAGATATTCAGACTGGATTTGGCATTTTGTCTACCTTTCGAGTCCTTACCCAGGACCTGGGATAGGCAGATGTGGATGTTTGATGGTATTACAGATATCGTCGCAGGATGGAAGCAGTTCCTAGTAAGGCCGCCTTTTGCAGTTGACTAATAACGAATTTGTCAATGCCAATGGTGTTCAAGTGGTGCTCCAGTTGTTTTGGGATTGCATCCAAGGCGCCTATTATTATTGATACTACCCTTGCTTGCTTTTGCCACAGTCTTTCTATTTCTATTTGTAGGTCTTTGTATTTTGTTATCTTCTCCAGTTCTTTCTCGTCTATTCTGCTGTCTCCAGGCACTGCCACATCCACTATCCAGACTTTTTTGTCTTTCTTATCGACAATTGTTAAGTCTGGGGTGTTATGTTGCAGGTGCTTGTCTGTTTGAATTCTGAAGTCCCAGAGCAGTTTAATTTTATCATTTTCTATGACTTTCTCTATTTTATGATCCCACCAGTTTTTGCTTACAGGCAAATGATATTTTTTGCAGATCTTCCAATGCACCATTGTTGCTACTTTGTCATGCCGCTGCTTGTAGTCAGTCTGTGCAATCTTCTTGCAACAGCTTACCAAGTGGTCCACTGTTTCTTCAGCTTCTTTGCATAGGCGGCACTTACTGTCTGTTGCTGTCTTCTCAATTTTGACTTTATATGCATTTGTCCTTAAGACTTGGTCTTGTGCAGCCAGAATTAGTCCCTCGGTCTCTTTCTTCAATTTTCCTGCTCTTAGCCATTGCCAGGTCTTGTTAATATCTGCTTTCCCAGCTATTTTTTTAATGTATTGGCCATGTAGTGCTTTGTCTTCCCATGCCTCTATTCTGTTCTTCATTTGGTCTTTCTTGTAGGCCAGTTTGTTCTCTCCAGTAGTCAGTAAGCCTTCCTGATATACTAATTTCAGTGCATCTTCATCATTGTTCTTCAGATATTCTTCCAAAGCCATTTTTTCTTCTTCAACCATCTGATGTACTTGTAGCATTCCACGCCCACCTATTTGCCTTGGTAGATAAAGTCTGTCAATGTCACTGCGTGGATGAAGGGCATGATTCACTGTCATTATTTTTCTGGTCTGCCTATCCATTGCTTTTAGTTCTGCTTGAGTCCAGTCCACTATTCCAGCTGTGTACCTAATGACTGGGATTGCCCAGGTGTTGATTGCCTTTATGGTATTTCCTCCATTGAGTTTGGACTTTAAGATCTTCTTCACTCTCTTGATGTATTCACCTCTAATCTTTTTCTTGACTTCAGTGTGCTTGATGTTGTCAGCTTGAAGGATACCCAAGTATTTGTAGTAATCTTCCCCATCCAGACTC